ATAGGACGTGAAAATCTGAGAATTGGTCTCGCACGGAAGACAATATCGATCGATTAAAAAACCGTCGGACCATCATGTCTCGCGCAGGAACTGTTATTTTACTTCATTTTTCATGATGATATACATCGTCTAGGACAATGATCCGTACAAGGTTAGTTTTCTACTCATCCTGCTTTACACGAGCGATTTTTGTAGTATCGATTTTTGTTTTGTTCATAGTGTGAACCTAAATGTTTCATAGTAAGGCTCAGGGTCATATTAGGGTTACCTATGTCTCCAGAGTGTGATGTCATTCGCGAAGAATGCTGCAGAGTATTAACAAGGATTACTACTTGTTATATTTTAAATTAGACCCAATAAGGAGAACTTACGAAGTTCGACCTGTTATCTGTGATACCCTTATCCCATAACGACCACTACGAACCGTATAGTGTCCATAGCGGTTTGGACCAAACGATCGTATGGACACTACGGTGTCCACACTCAGTTTAGTGGGTCCCAGTGTCTTTTTTACCGCACTATTCGTTAGCTAATAGAAATGAGATGGGAATAGGAATGGGACCAGAGAAACCATTTTCTGCTTAGAAACTTAGTGGTTTATAAAAAGCCTGTTGAAAAATTCGTTGACCGGTACTAAGCTAACAATCAATTGTTATTTCACCCAATGACTATAGTCACTGCGTGGGATGTCCGGATATAAAAAAGACCAAAATAGACTCGTCACAAAGTGCATGGTACTTCAAAGTGCTGACAGTGATGTACTCGCATAATAGAGCATAATAACACGATAAATACTAGCATATAGACATCACCAGTTCCCATAGAACCATGGACCAAAGTCTCTTCTGCAATCCTGTCATGTTCAGAACTACCAAGACACTCTAGTTTTTGAGAAGTTTTTTCATTGTCAATAAACCAGAAGGCCCGTAGAAGCGACTTAATCGTACTCGACTGGACTAACCACGTTGAACGACGCCAGGTCCTCATTGAGTTAACTATCGAGTAAATTTATTTATCAGTGTAAAGAGATAAAGTCTAACAACCACACACAAGCTGCTTGCGATTGGCGTAGACTGTACTGTGACCCTACCAAGAATCGCATAGACGTTCTGACTGCCACACTGATTCCCACGAACAATAAATTTAAAGGTTTTCGCCGTTTGCTAATGGATGCTCTGGTTAAGATCTCTTCATGCGTCGTCAGAGCACTATGTACGACATGAACATGGAAATGCGACGGATCTATTACAGGGAAGTTCTAAGTCTGTATTAAGAAAATTGATGAGTTCCCACTAGAGCTACATTTGCTTGGCCGGACAGTGTGCCTGAGGGCCCATCTTTCCTTGCCTAACCTAAGCCTAATATGTTCGGTGCAAATCGAACTTAGCGACTATGCATGGCAAGCCGGCCTGACAGCACCTGTCATTCGACAACCGATGTTGGGTGACATGGACTGACAAGGCGAGTTTGAAGCGTACCGCTGACTATGCTGCAGATTCTGCAGGTTGAGATTGTAGCTCCCGACACCTGAGCGCATTACGGATGGGCTTAGGAGCTGCGCATAGTGAGCTGAGTATTTCGGTCTGTGTGCACACTATTCTCCAATATGTCACGCTTAGGAAAGGTTGTCGGATAATTGGTGGGAAAAAGTGATGTGCAATTGGCAAAATTTTGTATTGATTATTTCTTTGCAATAAGCCAAATTGCTACAGTCCACACCATTCTCTAATTTCCGTTTTCATTTTGGTGCAAGTCACTTCCAGTTTTTAGCAGTCAGTGGTCGATGAGTGAACTCTGCAGTTGGATGCACAAGGGCTTCTCCACTTCTTCTGCATGTAAAGCAGCATCATGGTACATTCCTTAGCCAGGTAACTCATATGGATCAATAACCGCTCAGGAAAGAAGCGTGGGATTTTATCTCATGCCATTGTTGCTGCTACTTCAGAATTATCGACAAGAGGACGATTGAGATATGTAGCACCTTTATTCAAGTCACAGCAAAAAACTATACAACAGCGGAACGAGTAATACGACGACATAGTGAAGTGATTCTCCTGTGTTTCTTGAGAGATTACAGTAGTCTCTGCTACAGCAGGTATTGATGCAATAGATATTTGGCCCACTATATATGTGCGTCTCTTCTTTCTGGAAGTCGATTCTCGATTTTATTTTATTTATGCGTATATATACTAACCTGACAAACGACAACGGGATTACCCTCAATGCTGGTTGTCCGGTCGCACATTAGATTCACTGTCGTAGGATCGTTGGATATCACTTCTTGCCTGGTAATAAATAAATTCTAAGGCACTGCTATTTACACTATTCTTATCTACTTTTTTTACATTGGTATACAATCCATATCACTGCTTATAATTGTGTTCTGAACATGATTTCTTCTCTATAAATCTGAAATAAAAACGTCTTATTGGTTCCAACCTAGGAGTACATACTTCACACAAAAACTGCTTCGACAATCTGCCAAAACCATCTCTTCCTTGAGAAGCACACCGCTTTGGTACCACTCCTGTCCTAAATGGAAGAAATAATAAAAACAACGTCACAGTGGAATCTGGTAATTACCACAATGCAGTGAACACCATGGTGTAGACACGCGTCATGTTAACAATACTGATTTGGCAATGGTCTCATTATCCAGTACTCTAAGTCAAACGTTAACAATGGTGTAGCTTTGTACCATCTCATAAGACTTTTCTTGATGTTTTTCAAATCTAATGCACTTGTTAGTCCACATCTTGGTCCGTACTTTGATGGCAAACTCGTAAAGAAGATTTGGACGTGATATCAACCAGTGGATTTCTTTCAAAATCGCAAGCATAAACATATCTTATATCGCTTACGCGACATCCTATCTGAAGCTTAGGTTTGTTCGCTACGACAAAAATTTGAAAAGGTGCACGTATACCTCCAAAGCTTTACAGTGGAGAGAAAATGATTATCGCATCAAGTCTGCCACTCCTAAGATGTAGGACTTACCAACATAGCACTTGATAGCCACCAAAAAAGGGACTTGTGCACAGAAGAGAACGAGTGGAACAAGCGAGAACGACATTATCGTTATGCCAAATATGGTTAAACGGGCAACGCCATGAAACAGCACGATCGCTTCCATACATTGGGTGAATAGAACGAAAAAGCTTCAATGTTGTGAGAAGAGATAAACGCGTCCAGAATCTAAATGACTCATCACAGCAAAGACGAAAAGCACATAGATGGGGAATTCTGCCACATCTCGAAAAACACCTTAGGACTATAAGCTGGAATAAATGGGATAGGAAGTAAGCTTTAAGAGCATTTCCCATTGATACTGATATTCTTGGACAATACATGGAGGAAATACTAAATAATATAGAAGTATTGTAAGAACTATGGACGATGCCAACTAATTCAGTAAGATTTAGAATGCACAGCAGCACAAGGAAATGAGAAATGCCCCGACAGAATTCGTCACCCTTTGGATATGACCCTCTGCAAACAAGCCGCTAGCATGTTGTTTCGATTGCAAATTAACCCCATACACACAGACTCACCCATCTCTTGACAATCGTTGCTTCGGAGCAAATATTGAAGTGAGCGATCTTTGTAGCGACTTGAAATTGTCACAGCGTGTGGTCAAGCCACTTGTAGATATATTGAACAGTACTGTTATCTATAACTGCTGAAACAAATTTAAGAAATACATCTTGCAGATTACAGTACAGCCTTCTGACATGCCCTATGACACTGACCTTTGTTCATGAGATTCAGCCGGGATACACATCCTTGGATGGCTAACCACCGCCCTTTGTTACTTCTCATCTCAGCAAGCCAACACGCATTACTTCATTCAGCCCTTCAGTGGCATTATAATGACGCTACAGCCTTTACAGTGCCCCGTATTGAACGTCATGGAACTTTGATATGCACATGTGGACTATGGATATATAAACCCGACGTTTCCTCACCAATTTTCTGCTCCATAATAACACTTTCGAATAAACCTTGCACATTCGTTCACACTATAGAATACTAAAAGTTTTGTTTACGAAGTAACAACCGCTCTACATAAGCAACCAGTGGTAATGGACCTTCACTTCGCAGTTATTTCATATTTTTGTACCTACATAAGCCAATTATATACACATTTATAAACCAAAACGAGCTACTAGTAACAGCGCTAAGAAAACCATTCGAAAGAGTTATTGAACAAATGGGAAGCTTGCGACTCACTTCCGCAATAAAACAGCCCCAGGTCGTTGGGTCAAAATGATTGGCATTCTGGGTTTGGTTGTTTCTTGACACCTTTTAAAAACCTATACAAAGGTTGTTCTAAATTTGTATAGTAAGTCCCTTCGCCTTACTCATATCAAATTCATGTTGCTAGTTCCAGCTCAGCGCCTCATGTGTAAACCTAATGTTTCCGAAACACTTTAAATTCGGTGGTCACGATAGCATTTGTTTTCGCCACACTAGTACCGTTCTTATACTCAAAACCTTGAAAAAGCGGTTGGAATAAAAGGTGCTATCAAGAAATTCTAGAAATCAGGAAAACAATAACAAAAACCTCACGCAGTCCTATCGCCCCGATCCCATCCTATGTCCTATTGCTGGCTCCCTATCACTCTATACTTGATCGCTTTCGCCCGGCCAATCCACTTGATCGTGGTTCATTTCATATCCTATTGTATGTCCTTTAGATATATCCTCCATTCATCTATCCTCCTTCACCATCCTCCTCCTCCTTCCCATTGTGGAGTGGAGGCTGAAACTGTATCTTTAATTTCGACACAAAACTTCATTCAAATAACCGTAAAAAGGAGACACTAACACTATCCCGAAATCAGAACAAACACATTACTTGAAATTTCGACAAAAATGAGAACGTAAACTAAAATTAACGACAAGCATTACGATGGACAAAACACGCTTGTACAAACATAAATGTACCATTCAAGTGGTCATCGTGGATCAGCAGAGATAACTTCTGTTGCTGTTGGGATTTACTCGCGAGAGCGGCTACGCGAGCGAGATGGTGAGCGTGATGGCGAGCGACTGTGAGAGCGCGAGCGACGTGGGCTGTACCGTGGCGATGAGCGACGAGGACTGCGAGAACGACTTCTTGAACGACTACGACCACCACCACTAGTGTCTTCGCGAACACGGATGTAGGCGGTTTCACCCTGAAGAAATTAGTATACAACTGTTTTAATTTCTTAGTTTCACGACCAAAAATATACCTATTCTAAAACAACACATAACGGTTGAAGTCAGACTGTTAGCGACAACTAAATAAAACAACAACCTAACCAAATCTCCTCCATCCCACCTCATGAGAACGGAACTTTGTATCGTCCAACTTGCGCACAGCATACTTCATATCATCGTAACGCGTAAACTCCGCAACCCCAGTACCATCACGAGCAACATCGGCATAACACACATCACCTGCTTCGCGCAAATGGTCCTAAAAAATATAACGACTCTTTCGTTTCACTGACATCAATTGTTAAAAAATCACCTTCAGATCCTGCCAGGACCCCGTCGGTGGGAGCCCTTCTACAATAACACGAAAGTTTGAGCGGCGCGATGGTGGACCACCTCGACGAGGAGCGGGCCACTCCCTTGCGTATGCCGGATTCATCGGACGACCTCCTGGTCCACGTGGACCAACTCCACGTGTGAACTCCACGCGAATGCGGCACCCATCAAAATCGTATCCGTCTCTTCCTCGCACGGCATCTTCGGCATCTCTAGAATATTGCCGTACATTATCCATGAATCTCCCTCATAAAGGTTAAATATTACTCCGGTTAGTTGCGAAATAAAGTGGGGCGTCCCCAGGTGGCTAATACGGTTAAGTGCGCAAAAAGAGCTAACTTTGTTTCCCTGAGACGCAGGCAGATCCTAGGAATAGACCCCTTTCCGTTGCGTCAGATTGGTACATACCTTCTGCACCTATGAAGACGTATTCATGCTTGCGTACGCGGGTGTCTTGTCTCTTATGAGGACTATATTTTACGAGTTTATTCGGAGAAAAACCTGGGAAGTACATGAGAGGTAGTTAACAGTTGCCTCCAATAGATAAGTCCATCTACTTTGGGAGAGAGCGACAGAACATCCATGCGTATACCCAACTTCCACGTTCAAGGCACGGCAAAATATATTTGGGTAACAAATATTAAACACAGTAGTATAAGTGGGCCTCATATCCATCATATCCATGACACCATGTGAGTCCACAATACGGTTGAGTAGGACCTACATCGCAAAGTAATAATGTGACATACTTGTGTTTCGGTCCCCGATTGAGGACTTCACCATGCAAACAAGAAGGATAAGATGCGACGTCATCGGACCGGCTGAGGCGAGACGACGCCACCTATTGAACGGCGTCTATGACACCGAACTGCTTTCGGAGCAGGCGACAGTAGAGTTTTCTGCGTGGCCATTATCCTCAACAGGAGTTTGCCTATGAACATCGATTGATTCGAACCTACACGAATCAGATTTTCACGGTCGAATAGATGTGGATGAAAACCGAGTTTGGTAATCTCCATCGTTCACGCACCAACAACAAGCCATGACGAATACGACATCGAAACGTTCTATATTCTATATTAACTTGGAGAGGTTCTACAAAGAAACTATACATTCATCACAGTCACCTCTGGAGATTTTAGCGCTAATATGGGACCTAGAAGTACGTGTGAAGAACGCCACATTGAGACCCATGGATTACAATGGAACGAACAGAGTGAGTGGCTATCTAAGTTTGTCATGGCGACCAAGACCATACATGGAAACTCAAAATTCCAGTAGCACCATTTCCAACGCTGCACGTAAGAGCCTCCCAGTGAGGAGTACCATAACGAAGTAGACTGCATCAAAGCAAATCGAAGGTTTTGCCTCACCGGTGTCGCCTTTGTCCCACAAACCACGAACTCACATGCGAATTTGCGGAACAATGCAGACCGGCGACAAAAGATTTGAGAGAGAGAAGAGCAGCAGCTATGGTCGACGCTGCAGAATGTAGGAAAATAATTCGCAAAGAACACAGACTTCTTCAAATACAAAAGCAAGATGGATGCACTTCGACGCTCAAACGGAACAGTTACCGCTTCTAGAACGACAATGGTGAAAACCAACTGAGATAACAATCCGGATCTCTTCAGCAACCACATTCTCCCGCCATCATGAGAAATAAAGGAGAATGAATTTGTCGTCCCATCGGCCCTCCGTTCCGAAATCCGGCGTGTCATTTGATCGGTGAAGAATCGAACAACACCAGGTCATGAGAGGATAAGATCTGAATACCTACAGAAGCTTCCACCGGTACTCATAAACACGCTGGCTCGGCTCTTCACACGTTACCTGTCAGGATGCTAAGTCCGTATTCATTGGAAAACCAACAAGACTGTGTTACTGTTCCAGAAAGCTGAGCTGTACAATATCAGCTATCATCTAATCTTCTTGTCTTTTGTCCTCTACAAACTTTCCGCTCTAGTCATCATAAACAGGATTGACATTCAGTGCGACGAGACAACTACACTCATTGAAGTATCGCAAAAGTACAAGACACCGCTCTCTCAATTTCATCGACCTAAAGAAAGCTCTTGACTCAGTTGAGATAGAAGTACTTATGTAATCCGTACATAGCCAGAGCGTTCCTACTCAGTATATAAAAAAATCTGAGTGAGCTATATAGAAACTTCACAAGGAAAATATCATTGCTCTATAAGGATATTAACATCGGCGTCAAAAGAGGGGTTAGGCAACGCGATACAATCGCGTCGAAATTATTTACCGCCACTCTCGAGAACGTCATGCGAACATTGTAATTGAACAAAATAGGAGTGAAAGTCGATGGTGAATAAATACACTATCTTTGCTATGCTGTTGACATCGTTTTTATAACACCAAGTACTGCCGGGTGGAACAAATGCTCATCGACTTCTATAACGCCTATGCAAAGCTAGACCTTTGACTAAATCCCACAAAAACGATGTTCATGAGGTACGGATTGGTTTCGTATGCCCCACTCAGGCTCATCGGAATGAGTATCTCCGAATACTCCAGTTACACTTATCTAGGTCGAAAAATCAGCATGATGAACGACTCAACGATGAAACCTGACCAGTAGGAAACGAGCTACTGGGGGCGGGGTTTTCAAGAGCATCGAGGATGGATTGAAGACAACAAAGAACACCCGACTCTGTGCCCACCTTTTCGAATCCAAAGTACTTCTTGCCTTACAGCATGCGTTAGGAACCGGGTTCCTACGTAAGCAGGATGAAAGGTCACTCGGTGTTATTGAACGCGTAGTCGAAAGGAGGTGTTAAGAGTATTTTGTACCACGCAGTTAAAAGTGAGGGTCCAAAGCTCCGACCGATGTCAACGACCAGAAATCACAGACGTTCTATACGCCAAACAGTCGAAGATAAGGAGGGCAGGACACGTAATGAGTACGAACGACAACCGATAGACACGAGTCGTCAGTGACTGGATTCCTTGGACTCTCAAACGTACGCCAGGAAGACCACCGACCCGATGATCAGAGTTGTTCACCAAAAACCCGGATGAAAGGTATGGTGCATAACGAGTCCCTAAAGCGAGTTGAACCAAGTGAGCTACCCCTGCACGCGATAGGAAGAAGTGCAAGCTTTGCTAGCTCCCACTCGAATCACTCAACGATCAAAACGACGACCAAAACGAGTGATATAGGTGATGATCATAGAAATCATGCAATCCGTCACCTTCCCACATCATTGTGTTCGTGACTCCAGGTTGTGCATCTCCAAATAAAATAAAAGATAGAGCATCTAATAAGCTCACCGATAATCTTCGAACTCAACAAAGGCGTAAAGTGGTCCACGCCCGCCTTTGATGTCGACGAAACGAATTTTTCCGTACTTGGCGAAAATGTCCTCAATGTCCTTCTCGCGGACATCTGATGGCAAGTTTCCCACATAGATCCGTGTATCTTCACGACCCATACTGAAATTGAATAAATCGTAAGGTGAAATACACAGAACGGTCCATTTAAAGAACATTCGAATGAACATAAGTAGAGCAATGTATGAAGGAGCCGCATCACAACGCAAGAATCTCTCAGTTGCTTAGAAAGTGCAAGATGACAACAGAAGACGTGTTTTCAGATTGAAATCATATGACGAGAAGAAAAAAGTACACAAATCTGCACATAGTAAACATACACAACATCCCCTCCCCCACACAGGCAAATTTCATCTTTGAAGGTGATTAAATCGAACACACCATTATTCTACCATACGGGTAGAACCCAATCACTCAGAGCAGGTAAGGAAAACCATGTAACAAAAGCTGCATGAATACCCAGATGTGATTCAGGAACCTATGCTAGTGCCAACCAGAAATTACAACAATTCTTCGCAGCATTGGAAACTCTTCAAACGTCAACACATATAAAACTGGAATAGCGTCCTAGAAACACCATATGTACCCCGGCATGACAAGACAATGTGTCTCATATTTTCCCGCCTAACTGTTTAACCACTTTCGTTACTGAATTGCCACCAACGTTTATCAAAAACAGTGTGATGACTAACGCTTTTATGACCAAGCAAAGTCCCTGCCATGAAAGCAACTACACGAACATACGATGACGAGCACGACCATGAAAAGATGCTGTGGTGGCAATGCAGATCACAGTTGGTGACCACATCTCCCTTTAAACCACCAAACATCCACTTTGTCATAAAGGCCGTTTGTGTACCAAAATGAAGAAGAAACTCCTCAATAAGACGAAGGACTTCAGGACAATCCAAATTTAATATCATCTTTGTTGCGTGACGTGCACACGTTCACATTACAAAGTGTAACCTATGCACCCGCCGTTATGGCATACACTGGTCATGTAACAAATTTCGCCAGACGATCCGCTCAAATATATCTTCCTCACCCCGTGATTTCAGACGAACTGTTCCAATAACCGAAAATAAGCTCTCACTCGACATAAAATCAGCAACAACTCAAACAAGAGACTAGTTCCATAGCGTCCTCCATATTCGCCCACACCACCGCGTAATGGACCAAAATGAAGCATATCGGTTCAAATAGAGCATATATATGTGTACACACGTATACATGCATATATGTACGTACATATATAACTACGTACACTCGTACATATATGCGTGGATATTCGTACAAATTATGTGCATACGCCGGATGATGATCCCATCGATCAGGAAGCAAAAGCGCTAGTTCGAACCCCGCCCAACACTATCCTCCAACGGATGTGCGAACACCCTATCCTGGCCATTTCCAATAATTCAAGGAGAATCGGCTTGGACAGCATCCCAAAACATTCACAACGCAGACGAAACCAACACACAGCAGGTGAAACAACACGCGAAATGTTCGAAGACAGCTGTGATTGCTGGATGCGAGGAAAGCTATAGAATGTAGGAAGTGCAGAGATCTATATACATACACATATATATATATATATGAATACATACATACATATACATGTATACATATATGTGCGCATGTACATGTATATATCTGCAGGTGTGTTTGTATACACATATATACATGTGCATATACATTATTCTAAACCATAACATAACTCGAAACCTGGAGCAACTGCTAAGAATCTTCAGAACCAATGGAGGGCTCTCAGAGTTGTCTGAGCACTAGGCAACCACAAGGCGAACTTTCACACGTGACTAGAACGTCGATGATGACCTTCCTCCAACAACACTGAGATCAATACACATCTCAAGTAAAAGGCTTTAAGACCAACAACACCACACCGTCGTCTATCACTTATCACCAACAAACCATTACAGAATATCACCAGCACAGAAAAAAGGACAAGAATGAAGGCAAGCACACTCCTTGTAAGACGACGAAACCACGCAAGTAAGTGCCACTCAACAACGCGAAAGTGCGCGGCATACGCAACGCGGACCAATGCGGTGCGGTTTCTGCGTATCAACCACTAGGGCGGGAGTTCAAAAAACCTGCTCATTGACTTTCCATTCATAATTCGCACATTTTAGGCCATTAGATGTTTAGAAATCGCAGTGGTAGTAGCAGCAAAGTACTACTGAGGGATTCACGTCTTCTTTTTTGTCGAAATCCTCCATTAACCTCCCAACGGTTTACCGCTTCATCGTGGCTGTAAGGTACTCCTGGATGTCTGGCTGCGATATACAACAACTTGGGGTTTAAGGATGTGGCATTCTGAGCAGTTAATAACAAAGAATAGGCGAATAATAGGAGGACAGTAGTAGCGCCTTTGAGTATTTCAGCTTTCTATTTATTACATCCTGACCTCCCAACGGTTTACCGCCTCATCGTGGCTGTAAGGTATTCCTGGGTGTCGGCTTGCGATGTACAACTGAGGGATTCATCCTCCCAGCAGTGGCGTTTCCATCAGGAAGTTCAGCTAAGAATAAACCAATACCAGAATCTACCACCGTCCTGATATCAAACTAGTCGCGTGGCGGCAAATCTCCCTCTGTTCCACAAGGGCTGTGATTGCTTATGGTGATGAGGTGATGACGACCTAAGGCGGACCATGGCTAGGTTGGCCTCGGGACTCCAGGGAACCACAACGGCTAAACCAGCAAAACTCTGAGAAACGGAAATTTTGCTGGAGCCGGCACAATTACTAAGGATGGGCCATCCATATATGCAAGTGAGTAAGTAAGTAATTTTTCCTTCAATGGATATAGCAATGAGGCAAAAAGTTATTCCTTTCGGTCGAATATTAATTAAACTGATTTCTGCGCTCAACTTCCTAACTATGCATTGACTTTATTTGTAAATCTGCTTATTTACTTCTCACCTTGCGTATTTACTTATTCTAACTTACTCAAGCACTCAGATTATGTTTGTTACCGACCTCTCAATTCTGATACGCACAATAGACGTACTGGACGCGTATAGCGCGGTAATTAGAGGTGCTGTGAAATACACTCGCGATCTTCGGTTCACTCTTGTGCCTTGGACTCACTACGCCTTCTATCTGTCCGGGGCCAGTGAATTGTACTTCAATTATCTGGGAGGATACCAGTACTACGTTCTCAATACATCGGTCAGTCACCGTGAGTAATTGCATGGGCCAGATGTGCATTCATTTACCTCCATCGAAGCTTCATGAAGTCGAGTGCTTGGTGCATCCCTCAGGGATTGATCAACGTCGAGAGCTTTATCCCTCTAGCTTAATAGGTAACCAATGCGTATTCATATTCAATTACCTAGAACGATGCTTGATGAAGCCGAGTGAAATGGGGATTGATTAACGCCGACCGCTTGTCCTTTCTTATCAATCAAGTGTATTCTATGGACGAACTACGTTACTAAAAAGAACTCAAAATCAAAAGTCAACAAAAAAAAATCCGAGGTTATGCTGACTAAAAGCTAAAAATCTCCAAGTTCTTCACAACATACGATGATTTAAATGCATGTGTGTTAGACATTAATTGTTTCTCTAAAGTATAAATAAGCAAATCCCATCTTATCGTGGACCTTATTTAAATGAAGACCACTAGGATTTACTGACCATTGTCGACAAAACACCTTTCTTCTCTTTCGGTGCTAAAACTCCGACTACTTCTAGCCTATAAAATGGATTTCTCGCCCTTATCGAAAACCATGTTGCCAAAAACGAAGTTAAGGGACAAACGTGCATCTCATAGAACAGGAAAAGTCGTTGTCCCGAATCTATTCTTGATTTTTGTCACTGCCGTGCTTGCTTCAAAAAATTCCGTTCACAATGAACAACCTTTATGAACCTGAGCTTAAAACAAATTCCAAACTAAATACCTGAGAAAAACCACCTACTGTTTCTGACCGGTAGTTCAAAACCACTTCTGCAAACCGGTTAAGTCCTCCGATCTTCAAGTACTGTTGTTATCGGAAACTTGTCACGGATTCTGAAGAACACCTTCCACGCCGATGTGTTTGCGTCACCTGGCTCTTGTTTAACTTTATAGCTATTTCAAATCGTCTACGTTTTGATCCGACTTTCCAGCGTTCACCGGTCTCATGGACGGTCCAGAATGGTAAACTCAACTATAGTGAGACTAGATTTTCTTTGTAAATGACTCACCAGTCACACTTCGACCTTGCTACTCACCGAAGGACCCGACCACACAGCAAAGATCCCCGCTCGTCGGAGTGACGGTGATGCACACTCTATTGTGGCTGGCACAAGATTTACTCCTACACATTCATACCAGAGTGAGTTACCATGAGCCATTTTCTTCCGGTGTTCTTCTTCACCGCAATCTCCCGTGATATCATACTATTTCGATAATCTCCTAGCAAGACCTGACCAACTGTCTTACAAGAAAACCAATCCCTTTAATTTCAATTTAAGGAGAAATAAGTAGTAAAGTAAAGAGAGAAAATTAGCACAACTGTGTGCAGAAATAAGCAGGCGAACTGTGCACGGCAGAATTCTACACATTACCTGCCAAACAGAGGAAATATTAAGAGCCAATAGACTCAGTTTTTAAATTCATTTAACAGTGAATCTGACGAATGGGCTGAAGATCATCCACTTTAATAAGCTTCAGAATCACTTTCGACAATGAAAACACGGAAAATCCAGAACTTATAACAATCACAACAGTAGCTCCTCTTGTTCAACATACATATGTATTAACAATAACATGCAGTAATGATGAATATAAGGAAGTCTTGTATTTATAGAGGACTTTCCGCATAATCACATGAAATGTAGGATAGAGTAAACAGATGATTATACAACGGCAGCAGAATTGCAAGAACCTGCCACATTAATTTTCATTTACAAGGAAAAAGAAGCGGACCACCTAAACCGCATAACATGCTATATGTTATGTTACAATTTATTACATGTTATTACAAATAAAGATAAAGTTGTAGGCCGAAAAAACGCAACACAAAGAAGTGGGATCCTCTAGTACTACACAACAGTTTCTATGCATATTTACCTCCGTCATACACTGAAAAAACAAAGAAAATTGCTGAGAAAATTCATCGGCTCTGAGGAAAACGAAGACGTCGAAACGTTAGCCGAAAATAAACATCATTATCAACCTCGTGTAAGCTCATCAAAGAAAGAATACATATTGATTAGTGATACCGAGGTTCAGGGAAAGTCGGTTTCGAAATATTACTACGCTTTGTGCTAGCTGATAACAACACCGACTTCTGCACGATGTGCGCAATGATGTATGTCCGGAAGAAATACAAGTTGTTATCACCGGACATTATCATTATATCGACCATCAGCATCGTGTATAAAAGGGCATCACTGAGTAAGGATGCCTCATTCGAGGAGATGGCTCACTGAAGAAGACCTAACTCGACACGAAGGCGAAGCTGCCACGTTGAGGCGAATAACAAGCGAGGACCATCGACTCGGATCATCGGCTCTGAGGAAGACGAAGACGTCGAAACGTTAGCCGAAAATAAACATCATTATCAACCTCGTGTAAGCTCATCAAAGAAAGAATACATAAAGAAAATTGCTTTCAGATAGCATGAAAACCTCTTCGATTACTACAATCTTTCCTGTGCTACTTCGATTCACTGACAACTTGTACTCAAGCTTGTTTCCTGTTCACTACTGCTCTGATAAATTCTAATTTTGTCAAAGACGTGACGAAGAAGCTACGACGTTGGTAATCGCTGCCAAAAACCGCCCTCAGCTCCTAAAATATTGTGTACGACATAGAGTATAAAAGCATTTACAAAGTGATCTATGTTAACTTAACCTATGTTCATAGGCCGTATATCTTTGTGTTTATACGATAAAACAACATGTAGAAAAGAGAATGCCAAAGGATGCTCAACTGAAAGTTCAAACACCATTCAGAAATAATTAAAAAACCCAGCTGCATCGGCGCTGCTACTGAAGCATAAATAAAACTGTAATTTACAATATAGCATGAAAAAGTATAATGCCATTGGATTGCAATATTATATCTTTCCTTACCATAAGCTTCTGTCACTAAACAAGAGTTTCGTGATTGTGTGCCTCTAACTCATTAGAAGTTAACGTTTCACCTCAACCAAGAAATGCTTACTTACACTGAACTCTTACGGTTCACAAAGATTTGTCAACCAGTACGGTAACCTAGCTTGAACGGTTCAAATGAGCTTGCTTATGAGTAAACAAATGGTAGGAATCATCCCGTCCTAATAAGAACCTAGCTGTAACCTTACAGATGCCTCCCAGACACACAATTGCATGACTATACCGTCCTAAAAATTGGGAACAGAAAACTACCACTAAGTGGAAGCCACCATAAACTACACTTTCCGAAAAAAAACCAAAATATATGTATAGAATGTAAAAACATGCAAACAACGAATATGCATAAATGCGTAGTTTTGACCTTAAGAAACTAATGCTTGAATGACGCATAACGAAGAATCTTACGAAGTAGTCCTAAACACTTCACACATAACTGGTACGTTGCTGATTTGGCAAGATTTTTTGTTTAGAGTCGCGCGAAAGCTATTAATATGTTCCACGGTCATCGGCACAGGAAGCCATCGCGTCATGCACGTCTGAAAGGAATTCTTCCTCTTGTGGTAAAAATTCTTTCAGGACGACGAAAGATTATCCGTAATAGTTCACCCTTAAGAGAGCTTCTAAGTGGGAATGTCGAATCCTTTCTGAGCTCTGACTAACAATCCTGCTGGAATGGAAGACTCCTGCGTGCACCGCAGTTCAACACATAGGCAAACCACAATGGTGGGGTGATAAACCATAGATGAACCGCTTACAAGAACAACTTTCTATATCTGAATAAATGACGAAAGCCTACAAAGTCGCGATGTCCGCTGTATATACTTCTAACCGTTTGTTATTCTTCCAAAATAGCGATTACGTCACTGCATGATGAGGTACAACACCTACTCATTCGAGACACAAAACAATAACACTTTGAATTCCCCCAAATGGATAAAAACAACACTATTTGCCATTTAACAGTTCTTAACATAATGATCTCTCCTGGATGATCAGTATAAAATTTACTCCATGTCAACGAATAACGATAAGCTCCCTCGTTACCAAAACACGTAGTTATGATTGCGAAAACCAAATCAGAACTCTCGAAGTTATTACTACTCTTGATGCACTAAGACTAATGGCCGATGCACTAAGACTAGTGGCCGATGCAAGATCAAAACTTCAAAACATTTTGTTAGTTGCTCGACTTTGTACAACTTAGCTATACCTGGATAATGGCTTCCTAGTACTGAATACCCATTATAATAGAACTTCTACCAAAACCACAATGAGCATCATGATAAGCAAACGAAGTTATAACAATATACCCACCCAGAAATTCTGCTCACTAATAAGTTTGAAATCTTGCCTAGCTAAAAGGTCACTTCACATTAAAAAATCTTTGGAGCAAGAATAATTCCCTTTATATGCCTGGAACATCAAGCAGGTGGTGCCTAAAAAAAAGAATGAAAAAAATCTTACGTGCATTTCCCGAATCCCGTTGCAATCACATTCTATTTTGTACTGTTTCCCCTTTGCTCTTATGTGACAGTCCACAAATCATGTGTTCGGAGATCCATGAGTTCGAAAATCTTTTCCACTGAACGTGAGAGCACCCTCACACCCTACAGTATGTCCTTTAATCCTCCATTCACCACATCACTCCTCATGCTCCTCCCTTCCTCATTGTGGAATGGGGGCTGAAACAGCAACTTCTTCGATGATGCATAAACTTCATTAAAAGCAACATAAGAATATGCACTAGTAGTACGGTTCGGCAACCGTAGTATTACAATATCAAACTGTTGGTATGTGACGGTGAAATCAAAGCAAAAAACAGACGTTAACTGGGAGTAAGAGGTAGTAACAGACACTTTCCCACAATTGGAAATATAACACTAACGCATTAATAATCCAGTGGTCGACAATAGCGCCTATTAACGAGAGTTTAGTCACGAGAGCGACTGCGAGAACGAGACGGTGATCGCGAGGCGGAGCGGCTGCGCGATTGCGATCGTGGACTATACTTCGGCGACGATCGACGCGGACTACGTGAGCGACTTCTCGAACGTCCACGACCGCCACCACCGCTGCCACTACCACCGCCTCCGTTGCTACTGGTGTCTTCACGCACACGTATGTAACCCGTCTCTCCCTAAAAAAAGTGAAACAGTAATGAAGCAAGCGATATGGCCCTAAGAAAAAGTCCTTAACTCCCCAACTTCTTAAATTTTACAATGGTTCGATGTAACGGTTTAAAAAGAGTCAAACTGCCCTACTACTTAGTAACAAGAGAGAACAATGGAGTACTATAGAAATGAAGCATAGAGGGAATTATCCGCATAACGTTACTAACCTCATGAGAACGGAATTTCGTGTCATCTAACTTGCGCAATGCCTCCTTCATGTCATCAAGACGTGTGAACTCAACTACACCGGTGCCATCGTGCGCAACATTCGCATAGCAGACCTCTCCAGCTTCACGCATATGATCCTTAAAATGATTCTAAACGAATTGCTATACATTATCGAACATAAACATTGTCTGAAAATGAGATTAGAAAGTCTCAAGGGGTACCTTGAGATCCTGCCATGAACCAGTTGTTGGAAGGCCCTCAACAATTACACGGTAATTGGAGCGACGAGATACAGCCCCACCTCGACGGTTACCTCCATAATCTCCTCCATATCCTCCTCTTCCACGTCCTCCGTAGTCTCCTCCAAATCCACCACCACGTCCTCCGTATCCGCCAAAACCACCACGACCACCGCCACCACCACGCATGGGACGGCCACCTGGACCACGTGGACCGGATCCGCGAGTGAATTCTACACGCAGACGCGATCCGTCCATGTCATAACCATCTCTACTACGAACTGCATCCTCTGCATCACTGTAAAGAACAATTCAGACACTTCAAACTTGAGAGAAAAAAGTCGGCCCTACCGTGGATCATCAAACTCCACAAAGGCGAACATAGGGCCGCGTCCTCCCTTAATATCCACGAAACGAATGTTTCCGTACTTTGCAAAGACGTCCTCGATGTCTCTCTCCTGACAACTAGGCGGCAAATTTCCAACGTAGATGCGAGTTTCTTCACGTCCCATCTCAAAACTGATCTCATTAGTTGACATTAACAAGAAAAATTTTCGATCATTTATACATATTATTCACAAAACAAAGAACAACTTCTCGATCCTAGAACAAAACGGCCTAGGATGACTGTCGGCAAGAATAACAAAAAGCGCAGCGCGTCGATGAAGGCGGCGCGGTGGCTGCGTATCCACCATTCCAGCGGCAATTCAAATACGCCTAATTCAACTCGCAGGCCTCTGAGTACTGACGCTTCTTTTCCGATGTGGTAATTAAGTGCCTTAATCATGATAAGAAAACTAGAGAGAAGATGAAAGTTACTCGTTATTCTAAGTGTCTTCCAAATGTTTAGTGAGAGTAATTTATTACCAGGATACGTGGATGACCTGGCTTCGAATGGTGAGGAGCATGCACACTTTCCACTGTTGTTCTTGATGGGATAGTGAACGTCGTCCATGACGATGGCCTGCTTTGAATATGATGAAGCCCTCGAGAACCCTTCCCTAATTCGTAGGTCGTACCTAGCTGCTGGCGAAGTTGATTTACGAGAGCAAAAAGCCGTTAGTCCATCTTATAGATGGTCGTCGCAGGGGTGACTGTATACTCAGAGTCTAGAGTTCTTGGCTCTTTCAGCCGTAATCTGCTGTTCTCACTATATGACCAGTCCATCTATGATTCCAATTTTATACGTGTTCTCTCAGATCTCAAATATGGGATAGTTCTGAACAAAGTTGGTGAGTGGGGTCAGGCTAAACATTGTGTGAGGTTATATTTCAGAAAACATCGTTCAGCCGGCTTAAGCGTTTTGCGCAGAATTACTGAGATGGCCATAGCGGTTGCCGCACACTTCTCTGCTGCATAGCAGAACGATAAGAGGATTAATACAACTAGCTGAGAGACAGACGAAACGAATGACGCGCATGGTGTGGTCGTGAACGCATTAGCCCCCGAAAAGGGTAATAGCGCGTTCGTTCCCCACCGCAGACACCTGCATTCCGGAGTTTTGCAAATATTTCAGCATCATTGTGGTTCTATCACTTATAATACCTTATCTTCCCTCTAAGGTAAACGCCTGTGATAGGAAGGATATACAAGATAGAAAGCTTATACAACAGTGGCTTTTAGCACTGACTGACTTGCGGTTCCTTTGTTGATGCTGCCATGCGCATTTCTTAGTTTGGAAGTGATACGCGCTATTCCTTATGAGGTATACGAAGTATATTCTCCAGATCTCCTGTATCCCTAGCATGGCCACTTGCTATGCTTTAAGAATAGCAAATTGTGCCGTGAAAAATTGTAATAGGCAGTAGATAGAGAAGTTAATATTGTGATGGGAGGATTGTTGAGGGGAATAGGTGATGACGGATTTTGATGGTCTTGCAGGTGATCGGTGCTGCTTTGAGAGAACCGGATGAGTCCCATCCTATCGTTCTTCCCTCTGATTTTGTCAGCAACGCTACATTATCAAGCTGGGAAGAAAATTTAAAAAAAAGAAAGACTACACCACGGCTGGGAGATATCTATGGGCACGACCATTACAGAAAGATTTATCCTGCGATTGTGAAGAAAATGGAATGAAGGATTTTAAATCGGGATCCAGAGACTAGAATGGGACGAATACCCTGGGTTCATGGCAGAGATCAACACTATCTTCTGTAATTTGCAGTTCCAGAGCCATCTGGAAGGGAAGTGTATAAGGAGAGTATGTTATCTGCGATTTCTACTCCGATCTCTATGAGAACGATGTGCACATGCCCCTATAGCACTTCTGGAAGCATTAATACGTAGTCCATAGTTAGTGAAGTATGGCATGCCATCTTATCAATGAAGTATCACACACCACATAATTCCAACAAAATCGAATCCAAACCTCGGAAAAATCTGCCATCCTTATGGACACAGTAGCTCTCTTTTTCATGCTATTCTTATTAGAATATAAGGTACAAAGTTAGTGGAAAACCATTGGACAAAAGGAAGAACACATGATGTTTGAACTATCTCCTGATCTGTCTTCGTATATGAGCTCTGTGCTGAATTCATTCACAGCAAAACTAATAGAACATACTTTGAGCGATACTGATATGGACAAGCAAGTTTTTAGAAAGGATTCAGAACAGTGGATAGTGTCTACACGACAGCGGAACTGAACCATGTAGTGTAAGAGTACACAACACCACCACTTCCATGCACTCGAAGAAAGCGTTCACCACGTTTGAGACAATAATAGAAAGTTTAGAAAGTCACATTCCTCCACTCTATATTCGGAGATCTGCATTGAGCAGTGAAGCATCGTCATAACCGAAATCGCACTATTCTTCATCAATATCATTGCTGACCTGAACACACCGGTGCCAGAGCGATATAACTTCGGCTACTACCAACCCATTTACTCCATATGTGTTAAATGAAGACTACTTAGTCGTTCTTAATAGCACTAAGAGCACGCTGATAGATGTTTAGTCACATTAGGAAGCAACGTTCCGGAAAGGTTCAATGGAACGGATTACATCTATATTATAACGGAATTTTCTGAAAAGTATCAGGAAGACAGAAACGCTGCTGCTGGTTCGTTGGTTTATTCAACGCCATTGATTCTGTTTGCGTGGAAGGCGACATGGAACCTTTGGATATCCAGAGTATCGACGAGTAACAAAACTTCTTCATGAGATGAAGTTCTTACATTAATTCATAAATCTTACACAGATAATTATCCGAAAGTCTACTAGACCCTTGAGTGGCCCATTCACATGGACCATGAAGAATTATGTTACTACAAAGGGAGCGCTGTAGAGGAGAGGAACTTAGGTCTATACTGAAGTTCGATACACAGCAGCATCGACAGCTACGATGAGGCGGTGACCTGTCACCAGTGTGAAATCCAGATGTTTAGGTGTTAAAAATCACAATTCCTCATACTACATTACTCAAAAATTCATCGGAAGAAAAAGAACTTTTATAGCCGTCTATTGAACAGCTCGTCAAAAACAAATATCCGGACAGTGTTTCACTATGAAAAACCACTATCTTCAAAATATTTAGATTGCCTTTCCCCGGATGTCGAACGAGTCATTGTAAAGGCCAGATATGCAATCAGTCACCTCCAACGGTGCTTAGCGAAGTTGAATGCATGACGCATTTCTCAGCGATTGATCAACGCCGAGAGATTTATCCTTATCCTTTTATGGTCAAGTTCATGTGTGGCTTCGTCTGCTAGTAGCGATGCGTCGTCTTCAACCTCACATCTTAAGTGCTAATCAAGCACAATTTACACTAAAACCCTGACATTGAGGTGCTAAGATGTTCCAACCTCATCACTAGATACGGTTGGCGGCCATTCTGAATTGGAGGAAGATTCATTCTTTCTTTTAAGACTACAATGGCGGCAAAGATTCTTGTGATTAGTCGACTACTCAGTCGAGAAAATGTAATAGGCAGAGTCCATGAAACAATCTCATAATCAAAAATCCTGTACAATCTAGCCAAAAATATTTAGAGCCATTCTCTCTAATGTCAAGCGAAAACTGCTATGAAGCAACATCAGAGTGACGTCTGATGTGCGCAAGTTACACTGCCTTCGTCTCACTGCTGACGTCATTCTTATCAGATAACGCATTAACTTTTTTAAAGAAAGAGTAACTTTTATATCGAAGCAGCAGGACGTCAACAGCTTGTGGAACTTAAAGACCAGCAAAGGTAAACTAAACAGAACAATAACCATCTGGCACTGAACCCATATCTTCCTCCAATACTTATTCATGTCATGCTTAACACATATATCAAGACAGTTGTTGAGAGACCTAAGCCGACGATAAACGTAAGCACTGCTACATACGTTTCCAAATACAACGTCAGGACACTTCCTACAACAGCAACTTTGCATGCGTCTATCGAGTGGGTCCCACGGACAGTCAAGGGCATATCGAAAACCTATCGAGTAGATGCTCAGATTTTTCAATGAAAATCCTAGAAAAAACGGTGTTCTCATGTACCTCGACCGTTCAAGGTCACTAGGCAATATCGGCTCAAGACAGGGATAAATGAAGAAATTTTAGTAGCATCCATTTGGATCAATGGATGATTAACGAGAGGGCATGCGATAAAGATGACGCACCGCAAAGATCGACTGGTGTGTTCAAAAATGAATTGAAGATGCTAATAATAATTATTAGCATAGAATTCCTTCAACTCCTTATAAAATGCCTCGATCTAATTCTCGTCATAGCATCACATAGGTGACCAAAACTGTAGCAACTGGCACTGATGAATCATATCACTATAACCATAAACACTTAATTTTTAACTTACTGCCTATTACTTTTTCACGGCAGGTTATTATGTGAGAAACAACCACAATGATGAGATATTTGCAAAAGTCGAACCCTGGCCCAGTTCCGAACCTGTAATTACCACTTCCGAGGGCTCAGGCGCTACTCACAGCACCGCCGAGACTCTTGCCTTTCCTTTCTCTCATCAGGTTTTTTTTTATAACCATAAATGTCCGAATCATATAAATGATGAGATTAATTCAGCTAACGGGTAGCACAGCGGTAGTGATTCTATGTACCACGAGCACGGTGCTGCTCCAATCTTACCTAGGCTCACCAAGCCTCTGATCACTGCAACGCCTTTTGCTTCCATATCTGGGCGTGAAACCAACTGACTTCCTCTAACTCAAGCGCGAGCGACCTCAGGATTCAAAGGAAAATTTGTTCGTCCAACATTTAACGATACTCCCAACGAGAAAGCATGTCCTTAAGCAGCGATTGAATGCATATACAAGAGATATTCGAAGCCCTCTGCTGATGATGGAAGAAAATCAACCGACACTAAGTCTCAGGACCCAAACAGTAGACGTAAGGGCGAGTCATTTTAAGACTCCAATGACTTCTTTATCTTGTACGTTCGCGGAATAGTTCTTTGCTACTTGGTATCATCAGCTGTGATCTCTAACGGAACCTTTCATCATCTTCAGTCTGATGGCACCTTACCATCTCAGCGTATTGCCCGATTCATTAATGCTTCCCATTCTGGAGTGTTTTAGGCGTATATCACCACAAGATTCCTTTTTTATAAGTAAAATAGCCTATCGGTCTTCGCAATATCACAGAAAGGTTATTGCTGCTCATCTTATGTAATTCTAACGAACTGCTCCTGATGAACTGACGCCAAGTTGTTGTCGTCGTGAGCTTGTGACTTGCGTCTCTGCGACTTCGCCTTCTTAAGAGGCTTATAATCTTATCTTATATATCTTATCGGTATCTTACATAATGGTAAAAACAGCAATGGGACGTAAGCACCTAGCATTTTACAGTTTTAAAAACCAGCAGTGTACAAAGAATAACAGACCATTAGGTGACAACCTTGCCTCAATAAATACCCAATGGAGATAAAGCTGGTCTTTGCGTATCCGATTTTCATTCAACCTGAACATGAAAGACCAGTGTCAACCGCCACAAGCTTGAGAATGAAAAACTGTGATGTGCACACTCCACATGCCCAAAGCCCAGAAGACAGTAATGTCGCCAATATGTCGGCCACATTCTTTACATTCTTGTGTAGGTTTTCGATAAAGCACCATATAAATGGTAATATTCACATCTATCTGCGTTAGAACTTACCAATCTTGCAAACCCAACTATTGGAACTAATGTACTGCTTGTTCCTGAAGCGAATGCTATTGCAAACACAGACAATGAATTTATTTCCAGATACACCAGTAATTTAAGTCTAATGCATAATGGACAGATAAACAGTATTACCTCACTGAATGGTGATAATGCAGGTTAGCCTGATAACCTTTACAAACCTCTCGTCGTTTCCACGGAAGCCAAAAGAACGACGAAGAATGTCTAACAGACACTACAGCGACACGTCTAGTCAAAAGCCGTTACTAGATTCCTTCACTACATCAGGTTCCATTCTCCATAAACGAAGAAGTGAACTACTAGAACAGTACACACCGTGTCTCCCTATAAGGAGAAAATACAAGACATTTGGGATAAAAAGACACCGACCCTCCACTATGAATGAATGCCACTCAGCAAATATAGATTCTGCAAGACCCCTAACCAATGCATTACGCAGGTTACGATAGAATGTGTAAGACATGAGAAGTGCAAATACTTTGCAACACGCTATAAAATCTCCAAGAAAAGTTTTCGGCATTCATCAATCTCTGAGGTATTCACCATGCATGAGACTTCGTTAGACATCGTTAGGAGAGATTGAATGCATATCCGCCCTTTACAATTACTCGCGATGACCTACCGACGTATCGAGTCAGTGCTGCTATCCTCCCAGACAACGCCGCCACCAACATGCCCGACCCGAAGATGGTAGGCTTAGGTAGCAACAGCAGTGCGATCGACCCCGTGTGTGTGTTGCAGGGTGCCTCCAAGCACTGCACTACGCACTACCAGCACCACGCTATAAGCAAATCCCGGCGAATGAAAGGTAATAAAACATCCTGTACCTCAACACATTTAGAACAAGCATAGAAACTTGCATGCAAATCATTACACTGTCACTAAAGTCGTTGTGTTGAAAGACCCGGCATCAAAAAAAAAGGTTTTAAAAACAAACAAAACAAATGACGATGGCAGAACATTTAGTAGAAGCTCAATCAAACAAACTAATAACGCTCCATGATGACACACAAGACTATACGGAAAGCGTTACAACTATCTTAACACAAATTTCCAAGCCACTTTTGGCTCCATCTTCTTATTCTCCGTATCACGGTTAACGATCAGAAACTCTCATCTAGAGATATTTCCACTCCAAAAGTATCCACGATGACGGCAGAATTGTTTGGCGCTGCTTCGTCGGAGGTTTTATCCATCGTCTCAGACTTGTCCATATTGGATGTAATGGGGGCGATTGTGAATAGTGATCCAACACCAATAGTACGACCGAGATGAATCGAAGATGCTAAATACATAAAAACGCGAATATATCCCACTCTCATATAGACTATAACTAACAGATACACCTTATACAAATCTGAATTTCCTCCTCTAGTGTAGATAAACATTGTCCTTAGTACCAACAGATTGTTTTCATTGAGTAAAAGCAACTAAACTCTTTAAAACTGCTTCTGGCAGTCTGACACAGCAAGAACTTCGCTGACTTATCGAGCGTGTATTATATAGCAACGATAAGAACATTGTATACATACAGTATTAATAGCTCCCACTACAACAACACCTGAACCAAGATTTCCAAAACTCCTAGAAGCTAGCATACCCACCAACCAAAAATTTCCCCCACTACAGTGATTCAGTACCCAACCAGAGAGATTTCAGGTCAGAACCTGCAGGATGAATTCTAGTTTTACAACAAGAGACGTAGCAAATGATTAAACGACGTAAGAGACCTTCCAGAAGTAAGGAAACAATAAAAACTGATCTCTTGGGGTTGTTGAATAAACTCGCTTGTTACCTACAAGAAATATGTTCTTTCATAAAGAAAACTTTTATTGAACGACGATGGAGGTGAAGCCGATGTCTGAAATAAAAGTGGAAAAATCTTACGTGTACTCCCCGAATCTCGTCCATCCGTCCATATTTGTCTCTCCTATCCTATTCCGCTGGCTCCCCTTTTCTCCTACGACAGTCCACATATGTGTCCGAAAATCATTTCTGTTGATCGTCAGGGTATTCTCACACACTACAGTATGTCCTTTCCTTTAATTCTCCTCCATTTATCACATCCTCATCCTCCACACATTCTTATTGTGGAATGGGGGCTGAAACAGATACTTTATCGGTAATTTACAGACTTCATTATAAGCAGCAGAAGAATAAACATGGTTAGTACGGCTCGTAAACCGTAACACTACAATGTTAAACTGTTGGTATATGATCGCAAAACCAAAAGAGAGAGAAAAAAATAGGAAGACCGGAGAGTAAGATGTAGTAACAGACAACACTTTTTCGTGATCAGAAATATACCACTAACGTATGGATAATCCAGTGGTCAGCAATAGCGCCTATAAGGTCTAGTCACGAGAGCGACTGCGAGAACGGGATGGTGTCCGCGAGGTGGAGCGACTGCTGGAATGCGATCGTGGACTATACTTCGGCGACGATCGACGCGGACTGCGTGAGCGACTCCTCGAACGACCGCGTCCGCCGCCACCGCTGCCACCACCACCACCGCCGTTGTTGCTGGTGTCTTCACGCACACGTATATAACCTGTCTCTCCCTAGAAACACAATACGACACTAAAACAGATCAAGAACTATAAGGTTTTAAGGTTAAGCTTAAAGTCATAAGGAACTATACTTACTTGGACACTTGGATGGCCGGTCCTCATTGGTTGTGCGGGCCCCAACATAATTCTCACTTCCTCGGAATTCTGCTGATTTAGCTATTATGATTCCCTGGAGTCCCGAGGTCACTCTGGCCAAAGTCTGCCCCAGGTTTTCAACACCACAGGCAGTCGCAGGCTTTGTGGATTAGAGGGAGATTTATCCCATGCGACTTTGATACCAGAACGGTAGTAGATCCCGGTATTGATTTACTGTTAGCTAGGCATCCTGATAGAAACGCCGGACTCCTTCTTAGCCAAGGAGACCCTACCTGGAGAGGATGAATCTTCCCGCTGTACATTGCAGCCCGACACCCAGGAACAACCTTCCCCACCCCTCTCCGTCCGCTCCCCTCCCCACGGAGACAATGAAGCGGTAAACTAGTGGGAAAGGTAAGAATAAGACAAATAACTATAAGCTTTTCTATATAAGGGTCTAGAATTATAGAACTGCAGATTGGAGATAACCCAGCTAAGGTTTTCCCACGTTGACTGGAGAAGACATAATTCCCGATGCGCTGATGTGCTGCGTCACTAACTAACCGCTGAGCTCAGCAGAAAGCACGAATAGTACAGTATTACAAAAACATCGTTACTACGCGTAGTTACCAACCTCATGGGAACGGAATTTCGTGTCGTCTAATTTTCGTAATGCTTCCTTCATATCATCAAAACGTGTGAACTCAACAACACCGGTTCCATCGCGTGCAACGTTCGCATAGCAGACCTCTCCAGCTTCACGCATATGATCCTTAAAATGATTCTAGACGAATTGATATACACAACTGAAAATATAAATCAACCGAAGTTAGAATATAGAAGTAGAAAAGTGTACCTTGAGATCTTGCCACGAGCCACTTGTCGGAAGCCCTTCGACAATCACACGGTAATTTGAACGACGAGATCCACCACCATCTCGACGGTTATTTCCATAATCTCTTCCATGTCCTCCGTAGCCTCCGTATCCACCATACCCTCCTCCACGGCCACCATAACCACCACCACGGCCTCCGTAGCCACCACGTCCAGAACGACCACCGGAACCACGCGGACCAGACCCACGAGTGAACTCTACACGCAATCGAGATCCGTCCAAATCGTAACCATCTCTACTACGAACTGCATCACTTGCATCACTGAAAGCAACGTTCAAACCGTTCAAAAAGCTCAATGACTCTGATGAGTTGACAACGTACCGCGAATCTTCGAACTCAACAAAGGCGTACAGAGGCCCTCGTCCACCCTTAATGTCAACAGAACGGATCTTCCCATACTTCGCAAAGACGTCTTCGATGTCCTTCTCTCGGCAATCCGGGGGCAGGTTACCGACGTAAATCCGAGTATCCTCACGTCCCATCTCGAAATCGCCCTGATTAGTACTATTTGCATATATTACACATATCAACACTAGACAACTTTGAATGACAGACACGTTTCATCACGATAACAAAGAACAAACGCTAACTGCCAAGTGAAAAACACAGATGGTCTACGTTGATAAAGAAAACCGCGACGCGCTAATGATCGCGGTGCGGTTGCTACGTATCGACCATTCTGGCGGCAATTCGAAAGCGGATATCCTTTATTTTACACTGGGATTTAATCTTGGTGGTGAGATTTGGTGTCCGATACCTTGTTAACAGCTAGACATAAGGGTAATAAGCCGAGAAAGCTTGCGTTATCTGGAATTCACGTGACAAGAACAGTGTAGCAGAAAATCGGTGAAATGACAGACCATAGAACTATTCTGTAGCGATCAGTACCACGGCGAAGCACTTTTGCAACTAAAAACGATGCTCAGGTGATTATCGAGGTAGTACCGCAGCAGTCAAAGGTCTACTGAAACAGTGTCTAGCACTCCAGCTCATTCAATTTCTCTTTCATTCACCATTTGCGGGAATAAAGAAGCGTATATTGTCGTGGAGCAAAGTCTGGTTTTTCCCAGTTGCCAATGTAAAGCGTAAACATTGAGGGCCCTGGTGCATTTTATCGATTTCCTGGCTGAGCTTCCCCGATTTTATCGTTTCGGAAGAAGTGAACGCCATGGTACGAAGGTGACAGGCAGATCATTCTATCTGCCAGCCATCTAAAAATCCTGTACCCTTCTTTCGATGCAAATCTGCTTTGTACTTGCAAAACTCCGGACCGCAGCTGTCCGCTATGGGGATCGAACACGCTATTACGCTTTCCGGAAGACAACGCATTTACCACCACACCATGTGGGTCCTTCGTTTCCCCTTCGACAATGTTTTACGGGTCATCCAGACCATCCTTATTTTTCAAGCTCGTATGTCCATTATGGAAAATAGTCCTATCTTCACAGGCCCGTATAATTGCTCATAGAGCAACATGATCAATATGTTCAAACATCAGCTGTTCTTTTATCAGTTGTTTGTTTTACCGTAGTGTTTCTTTTTGCTACACTTCTGGTCAACTGATAGTTTCCTTAGCACAAGTTGTACCACGTGTTGTCCCGAAAAACCAATATTCTACATATTGCGATCTACAAAAATTGTTCTCCCTTTCTACCAAGGTTTCCCGTCTCATCGAGTCCTTTGGTAAGAGGTTGTTGCTGAGAGTACTGTACTGAGACGCCACAGCTGTAATCCACCCAGGATGATAAATATGTAGATTTATAAATAATAATTAATAAGCAAAAATAGTAGATAGAACTAGCTGAGAGACAGACGAAACGAAGGACCCGCAAGGTATGGTGGCGAACACGTTAGCCCCGGAAAGTGTAATAGCGCGTTCGTTCCCCACCGCAGACACCTGCGGTCCGAAGTTTTGCAAATATCTCAGCACTATTATGTAGCTGTATTGTAATATAAAGAAAGGCATACACTTCCTAGTTCAATACTGGCAACATCGAGATAAGACGAACAAAAGGAAAAAAAACAGAAGACAGCAATGAAAAACAGAAATAAGAATCATTACCCCGCATGAAAGGGGATTTGAGCCACATAGAGAACGCCACATAAAGAGAATACGCAGGTCGCGAAAAAAAAACCTGTGACTACTAAGAAAATACGTAGAAAAAAACTGAGTTATACACCGACAACCACTGCAAAGATAACGAAGGGCATTTTGGCCGATATGAGTCACGACAATCTCATCTGCGCGCGATGAAGGACCATTTTCCTGTCTTAGGTAACATGTCACAGAAAACTAAGTGCTATAGCGAAGGTGTGGAAGTCAGTGTTACATCATGCAATTATTAACTGCTACTTAGAGAAATGTAACTTGAGTACTGAGAACCATTAGCTTACACTAATATTCGAGACGTTATTTTAAAAAATACTGGAACATTCTTTTTTCCCAATTTCGTGTTAAAGCCCTGACTCGAGCACAAACATTTTTGTTAAATTTTCTTCTATGTGATCTCATTTTAGCATAAATAAGAATAAAATCAAACCTACTTCAGTATTAAACTGCCTAATATTGTGCATACGGCGTGTAGGATGAAGGATGAAACTTGGTAGTTGGTCGTTCGAATACAATTTCCGTTTACTTCAGGAAAAAACTTTGATGAATAAGTAAGCCTCCACAAGATTAGGGATATCGTTCAAATTTCGATAGTACTTATTCCGACCAACAAGATTTTCTCAGTCGACGAGGTAATGCGTGCTGAGGTATTAAACCGGAAATCTCCTGAGCCACCATTATTAATACCGTATTCTCGATAAAATCCGCTGGAAATAACCTGAGATCGTCCCATTCTTTTCGTCTCTATATGGTGTTTTTAGTCCCTGTGTATGACAGATTTCACTCGTCCTATCACTTAGTTCTCTCCAATTTCGTAATCCGACTCGCTTGCTCCAAGGAATAATGCTAAAAAAAAACAGCTAAACAGCTGTTTTGACTACCTTCCAAATTGAAAGAAAGTGTTAGTGAAAACAACTACATTTTCACGTTTCTGAGGTTCTTGATAGTTTACATCAAAGAAAAGAGGAAAATGGGAACATACAGGTGATAACCCGGACCCACTGTCATGTACAGATCTTGGCAGAGTACAAAGAACCAACCGATTTCATTGCTTGTTGAATGCGGATAGTTCTAAATTCATTCCCCACGGAACACATAAGCAAGACGAAAAACTATGACACTAACTGCTGGTCAAGGAATAATCCTTCCCTTTATGTTTAATCGGTGTTGTCAGATTTCCAACTTTTCGAAGTAATTCGTGATCTCAGCCTGTGTTTTCTCATTACTCAGTTGGTCAATATACAAAGTACTCATGAGGAGTTTGGGAAAGCTTCCAATGAATCCTAAGTTAGCTCGGCGCCCTAGCTTGGATGGCTTTGACACGCCGTACTAATTTTTACCGTCCATAACTTTGTCCAATATTGCATGCGAGATAATTTATAGACCCAGTCAAGACAAACATATTAATGAGACGCTTGTAGAATTTAGAAGCATAGCCGTGTCTTCCTCATTAATCACAATCTACACAGATATGATATCTACGTACGGTGGAGGGCCGCACCTACAAGCTAAACGTCTACGGTAGGAAAGAGATGCAAGGTAGAAGGTTTGCATGGGTATGCTGCTGCTGTCCTGGATTTCTTCATTGATGTTGTCGTGCGGAATTGTTAACTTAGGAGTGATAATCGCTTTTTCCTATGACGTTTACTAACCATATTCTCCAGATCCTTTTAACAATCTCACATATTGCCCCTCCATTGCTTGCATAACCAACTGCATTACTTTAACAATAACAAACTTGTACACCATGTAAAACAAACATTCCCAAATACCATCTGCTTGTTCAAAGCATTCAAAGGCAATAAATGACCTTCTGATCCCATTTACTGATACTGAATTGCCAAAATTTTTTAGAGCTTTAAGGGATCAATTCTATTGTTTTCTACAGTCGTTTGCGGTCACAGACAATGGCCACCGTTTGCGGATTGAAGAAACCTTTTTGACGATATCCTTATAATTCATCCAAAATGGTAGCAGTTCGTCTTTTGTGTACTTCTAAATATGAACAAGGTTGTTGAGGCTTCCACTGTGACACCTACACCGATTCTTTTGCCCTGATCCTATAGATTACAAATGTCATGAGCCTGTCACATGGTTTACATCTGTTTTTTACCAACAAGTTTACGAAACCCTGAGGAAACCTCCACGTTGTAATGATAGGCTGCGCGATGTGTGTTTGGAGTTAAAAATTTCTTTGTGGGGTATGAAAACCAATTTCTGGTAGTCGAATCACAGATAAACTTTCCTTCCGCAGAAGAACTGCACCAACACAATTTTCATGTAACATCCACTGAACGCAAAAACCTGCTGTTGAGACTGTTACACTACTTGGGACTCAACTATGCTTCAGTTCTCAACCTAAAATTTCATATGAAATGGAAAATTAGAAAACACATCTTCGAACGAGCAGGTAGAAACTCTAAAGTCTGGCCAACATAAGCCCAATTAGACTGAATTAACAACTAACCCCAAATAATGTAAACAGTGCTGCGTGACTTCCCTCCTTGTATAACGGTTTTTAAAATCTAGAAGCAGACACTGCTTTCTAACCTTTAGATACTACTGCGAAATGGGTACTACGACTGACCGTCGGGAACCAAAAATCAAACGCCCTTTGGCTACAGTGCGTTAAATGGCAGCAAAACAGAAGCCACAACAACAGTTCGTACTCTTTTAAGCAACACACGTCGAAAAAATAATCCTTGGTTTGTAATCAATGCCTTGTATATATGTAAACATTACAACACTAAGCGGAACTAAACTGGAATTTGTGAAGAGATATGGTGTTCAAAACATCTTTCGAAGCTCACACTGGTCTCTGTTGTACAACTAAAAACCATGGGTAGGCTTCTTAATAAGTGATTGTATTGTACGATAGGCGCGTGTGGCCCAGTGGTTGTAGGCGCCACTGCGACATGCACGTGGAATCGATCCTCGCACCCATAACCCACCAAGCCTTCCATCCTTCCGGGTCGGCAAATTGGTACCAGACTTGTCTGTGAGGATAGCCGCACTGGCTCGATACATCGGTGGCCGACCGCGGGTCATTGTAACGGCCAGATATGTATTCAGTCACCTCCAACGATACTTAATGAAGTCGAATGCATGGCGCATCTCTCAGAGATTGATTAACTTCGACAGCTTTATCCTTTATTGCACACTTATCAATGACCACGACAGAATCATCAGGTTATTAAATATAACGCAGTCATAACCAATCCAGGTTCTACTCCGAATACGTGATACAGAACAAACACATAAATCCCATCTGTAACAACCTTAAGCGGAAGAGTATATTGCAAGACGTATATTTCACTTCAGCTGGCATCCAAAAAGGCAAAACAAAATTTCCGGCATATCTAGCAGAATTCAGGTGAAAAGCTTCATCATTAGTTCGATGAAGCTACAAGAAATTTTTGAATATAGAGGGAGTCACGACACGCTACATATATACCTACCGACCCTAAAACACTTGTCTGAAATAGAGGACAAAAACGTTCAACAGTTAAATCGAAGGTGGGTCTTCGCAAACCGCTGAGAATCTAGAATGCCTGAAAAATTTGAACGGCTACCGGCTTACAGAAGAAACTCTACCCTACCTATTTAAGAGTAAATATCGTCCTTCAAAACTGTTGATTTCTAAAGATGGTAAAAAAAACAAACAAAAACGCAACCTAAATTTTAGAGATTCCAGACAAAAATCATCGTTTCAGTAAAAATTAACAACACATCTGTAGACATTACTGCTTCAATGCCGATACCGTCTGTTCAATTGCTTACATTTCCGAAATACGAGCCTCGATGAGAAAAAGTGCACTAACTCCGTTTGTCGAGCTCACAGAAATCAGAGATTCATCTTGGTAAGATAAGAAAGCTTTTACCCGCAGGAAAATATTTGGTGATTCTACCAATCCCCACCGCAATCAATAAAGTTTCGAGCTGAAACATGTTGGCTTGAAGTTTAAAGCCACCGTTAATTTATCACTACCACAGCTTAAATCACCTCATAGCGGACCCTGAGTGTTAAAACGAAGACAGTGACAAACATCAGTTCATGGTAAAGTGTATGCCGAAGCATATATGCATACAAAAAGAAACTTTGGCGGCTTGTCTCCAAATTTGACAGCCCCTCCCCCCACTCCTATTTGTTCTCATGTACTACGACTAGCATCCATATAGGTGGTGGAGCAATAAGCATTCAACTTTCTATTCCAGCTATGTTGGCTGCTTTTGAGGAGAACTCAAGATGTTGTGCTAGGCGCCTCCTTCTTCCCCAGGGACAGTCACCGGTTTCTTGTATTGAAGTGAAGCTTGTTACAGTGCGAAAATTTCCCAATTGCATTAACCTAGGATGGTTATTGCACTCTTCGCAAAAACCATTATCGCACGTGGAATTCCACTCGTTCTGAAGAAATTCTGATCGCAAAGTAGCAAACGCTCTCCAAACGACGGCAAATGCTGACAAACTTAGGACTGCTATCTTGGTTTTGTAGAAAAGCAAACATAATACGCATCTACCATGTTAGTGAGAGGCCAAAGCACTAAATCAAGACGCAGCTGAAGTCGCACACCTCTATACCACTCTCTACCGTCTCTATGAATGATGGCTGAACAACAAAATGAATGTGCCAGGAGTCACAAGGCATGTGGTAATGGACGATCTATAGGCATATGTATATACATACATATGTATATATATATATATATGCATATATATATGTTACGAATACGTATATGCATACATATGCACATATGCACACCACTTAAATTCACAGTACAACTCGTTTCTTTCTAGAATAGTTTGAGAAAAACTTTCTAGCATTTGTTGTACAGCTTCATCCTGTCCTTACAATAATTACAAAAGGTAGAAGAAAAACTAATCGAAAACAATGACTAGATTTTGTAACGTGATTCTTCCAAGACTAGAGAGCAATCTTAATAAAAACCAAATAAATCGTAAGCATAAACGCGAGCAGTTCATGGTATTTGTAAGGTGTTTGTGTTCTTTGTTGAAAAGAATAATGCAAAACCATCACTGAGATAATACCAGAATTTCACATAGTTATTGAAGTCTCATATAAAAAAAGCCAACCTGAACGAGTAAACGGGAATGGAGAATTGTGGACAATCCCTCACATTCTTCACCGTAATGCGTTCGATTCTTATCACAGCAATTATTTAAAACTCTATAAAGTGGCGATTCTGGTGCATCGTGGTTCACATTCTTTGCGTTGACGAAACTAAGGATGACGCGGGTGACAAATCCCAATGCATCATCACCGTCACACCGCGATAACAGGACGAGGCTAAGTAGATAAAAACGCAGATACTTCCTACTCTCCCCCAGCATGTAAATATTTGTATATATATACATGTATATATAAATATACACATATGTACACGTATATGTAAGTGTATATAAATGTACTCCTACTTATATATTACACTTAAATATATATATGTACTCCTACTTGCATTGTTCGTACGTTTCTATGAGGTTAAAAAACAATATGTCTCTCAATAACAAGAACCCATTGTCTTGACTAAGAAATGAAATCAACACCCTTAGATCGATTCACAGTATCGTTACACCAAGAATGGCCTATGCTAGTGCGAACAGGAAAATATATGTTGACCTTCCAACCCTTTCTTTTCCAGGTATGGTCAGCACTGTGGCTATCACATATTGAAGGTTCCTATTATAATAAAACTTATACCGAAACAATAACAACAATGACATTGCGCATGGGAAGAACGAAGTACAACACTTCGCAAAAACTAAGAAATAAGACTGTAGTCTCCGCTCAGTAATCTAGCTCACGTACGGTCTAATAAGCTTTATAACGAAAAGACAATTTCAGCAAGAAAAAAACCTTGTGGAACTGAATGAAGTTTTCCTTCCTAACTACATACAATGTAAGAAATAACTATATGGAAAACCACGTGAAACTAAGGAACAGAAAAAACTCTTACGGTCGACTAGATGTGAGCAGAAACGGAAAAGATCCACTCGTTCATCAGCAAAAACACTGCTGATATTCTATGCTGCTAATGGTGCCTAGGACAAAATGGAAAATTCTTACGTGCAATCCCCGAATTCTGTTCCATCTTCCTAGCCTATGCTGTTGCATCCCCTTTCCTTTCACGACAGTCCACATGTGACTTGCCCGAAGGTCCGCGCTTTCGGAAATATTTTCCAGCGATCATGAGAGCAATCCTACACCCTACAGTTTGTCCTCCTTAATACTCCTCCATTCTCCTATCCTTCCTCATCCTCCTCCCTCTCCTATGGCGGGATGGGAGCTGAAACAATGTAACTTCTTCGGTGGTATGCAAACTTCATTAAAAACAAGAATGAATAGTACATTTTCGAAAACCGTGCTACGACATAATTGAACTATTGGTATGTGAATGCGAACTGGAAAAGGAAAAACAGAACTGAAGAGTACGATATCATAACAGACAACCCTATTCAATGCTTGGAAATATACCATTAACGCACGGAGATGGGTCCAGTGGTCAGCATTAGCGCCTAGGAACAGCCTAGTCACGAGAGCGACTGCGAGAACGAGATGGTGACCGCGATGCGGAACGGCTACGAGACTGTGAACGTGGACTGTACTTTGGAGATGATCGACGAGGACTGCGTGAACGACTTCTGGAACGTCCACGACCACCACCACCACCACCACCATTGCTACTGTCTTCACGTACGCGTATGTAGCCCGTTTCGCCATGAAAGTACAATGATACTAACAGAACAGAATAAAATACCTCAAAATAACTTTAACTTGGTAATCCAACTGCAAAAACCTCTCATAATAAAGGTTTAAGAAGATTTAAAACACATGAAATATTATTTTTCTGAAAAAGAGGTCGAAATATTAGCCGAATAGACATCATATACATCTATAACACTATACCAAGTCCTTCTCAACAGCAACCGTCCTATGTAAAAGAGAGCTGCAGAATGAAATTGCTTCATTCAAGCAGTGCTCCACTCAGGAAGATTCGACTCGGTACGACGACAAAGACGCCACATCAAGAAGACGGACTGTGTAGTATTGACTTGGATCATCGGCTTTGATGAAGACGAAGACGTTGAAACGTTAACCCAGCAGAACTTTATATCAGCGGCGTGTTAGCTTAACTATCGATGGAAGTCAACACGAAATAAGTTTTTTAAAACCCTTATTACACCAACTGCGCCGTTCTCAGCAGTTCTCGCATTCAATCCGTCTTCCTCCTTTTGATCGTCTACAAAAGTCTTCGAACATTTAGCACATTGTTTCGGCTGCTAATTGACGATTTCGTCTTCTTTGTGAATGTCGTAGAACCCACGTCGAATCGATTGTGCTTGCTACCCTGGATATAGCCGAGCAAAGGCGTAGATTAGAGTAGGCTGTTGGGGAGCGGGTCTAACCAGAACCTCACCTCCTGATAGATTGTGATGGATTGCGTCACTAACCAACCACTGAGTTCAGGAAGGCGAGAACAGTAATGTAGAACAAAACTAACCTCATGAGAACGGAATTTTGTGTCATCCAACTTGCGCAATGCGTACTTCATGTCATCAAAACGTGTGAACTCAACAACACCGGTCCCATCACGGGCAACATCCGCGTAGCAGACATCGCCAGCCTCACGCATATGGTCCTTAAAATGATTCTAGACGAATTTTACATAAATTGAAAATGAATACTGCACGAATTTAAAATGGGAAAGAGCCAAAGGGTACCTTGAGATCCTGCCATGAGCCTGTTGTTGGAAGACCCTCGACAATGACACGGTAATTGGACCGGCGAGATCCAGGACCACCTCGACGACCACCTCCATAGTCTCCACCATATCCACCACGTCCTCCGTATCCGCCACCACCACCTCGCAAAGGACGACCACCTGGACCACGTGGACCGGATCCGCGAGTGAATTCTACACGCAAACGACACCCGTCCAGATCGTAACCGTCTCTGCCACGAACCGCATCTTCCGCATCTCTACGAAGACTCACGGCAACATTGAAAAACCTTCAAAACATAAAAGAAGAACAGATTCCTCACCGCGGATCATCAAATTCAACGAAGGCGAATAACGGGCCACGTCCTCCTTTGATATCCACAAAGCGAATCTTCCCATACTTTGCGAAAACATCCTCAATTTCCTGCTCTCGACAATCCGAAGGCAGATTGCCAACGTAGATACGAGTTTCGTCACGTCCCATCCTGAAATTGTTGGGGGTGGCTAACACTGAACCGACTGCCCACTCATCATCAACACATATCGATTGTAGATCACCTTCAAGGATACAGGATACAACAGTTCACTAATCGATAAAAAAAAATTTAGGAGAAACCCCAAAATCGCACAACTCCATTGCGACGCGGACGAGGGCGGTGCGCTCACTGCGTATCAACTGGTGGTAGTTCGAAAACGCGCGCCTCACCCCCGTCTCAGCTGAGTATCAACATGTTCGTTGAGAGGGTGGGTGTGCGTGGGGACCGCTACCATCGAGGTCCTCGAGAACTTTGGTAATGGGGACTGTTGGTGTAAGGATATTTCTAGGAGCCGACGTTCATTTAACACCGGCATAAATAATCGAAGTTTTCTTGGATGATTAAGCTAATGCGAGGTTGGTAAAAGAAGATAAAATAAAAAATAAAGGATAAAGCTCTCGACGTTGATCAGTCCCTAAGTGATGCTCCATACATTCGACTTTATTGAGCATCGTTGGAAGTGATTGAATCCACATCTGGCGTTTACAATGACTCGCAGCACCCTACCCATGGGCACTACGGTTTTTTTCCCAGAAAATGGTCGGAGGATTCGAAACGTGGTGAAAAAACTCATTTTTTCGAACGCAGGCCTTCTAAAGTCGAATGATATAAAAGGATAAAGGGTAAAGCTCTCGACGTTGATCAATCGCTGAGGGATGCGCCATGCATTCGGCTTAAGTGTCGCTGGAGGTGATTGAATGCATACCCGGGCTTTAAAATGACTCGCGGTGGCATACCGATGTATCGAGCCAGTGCTGCTATCCTCCCAGACAAGTCTGGTTCCAATTTGCCGACGACGGTGGGATGGAAAGCTTGGTGGGCCATGGACACTGGGATCGATTTCACGTGTGTGCTGCAGGGCACCGACCATTGCGCGACACGCGCCCTTTGGTAAAAGAAGAGGTCAATTTAAAAAAGAACTTTTCCCAATCTCTTAGCTTAATAATTAAAAAAGGTATTTATTTGGTATTGATGTAAGAAATCAGTGTTCACATTATTTCTAGGCTGTAAAAGTGGTAGTGATCCTGATCATGATGATCAGTACCCTTAGTAGTACACTATCGTTCGTGATAACCACCCTCATATTGCATGTCCTTTCCTTGAACAAATCAGACCGACGAAGTATAATAATTGAGAGGTCTCTTGGCTACATTCAAACAATAATTATTGATCAATGCCGAGGTTAAAAGAAAGTTGGCCATCGGATTTATTGGACTTGGGATCTTGGGATTTTACACTTGGACAGTTCTTCGGTTTTTTTCGTACAATTCCTGGATCGATACGGTTATCGAAGTAGTAATCACGACCACTCCATTGTTACCCTTGAACTCTTATCCATCTATTTGTATCTTCAACAAACTGTATTTTTCAGAAGCATTAATGAATGATAAGAGTGGGTAAAGCTGATCCTCTTATGCAGAAAGTAGGACTTCATATGTTGTCATGTATAAAATTACATAGGAGACCGATAGCACAGTGGTAGTGATGCCGTTCATCACGAGCACGGTTTTGGTCCGATCCCACTACGGGGTCGCCAGGCATCTCATCCTTCGTGATTGGGGAATTGGTGCCGCAGTTTTCCAGGAAAAAAGAGTCGTTCACTGTAATCTAAGTGGGAATACTCTAGCCCGGATATCTCAGGACACCAGGGAGAATCGACTCGGTCAGCATTCCACGGCATTCAACATGAGAGCAAAAATCCTCAAGCAGCAGCTGAAGCCACACGTAAAAGTTGGAAGACCTTAGTAGACAGTAGATGTGGAGACGAATGGAATGTGGTAAGTGCTGGGATCCGCAGAGTAGGTGTGAAGACTGGTCGTATGAAAGAATTGTATTGACTGATAACCTAAACACGGTTTCAACGAAAATGTTTTGTTAAATTTATCCTACCTAGTGATAAAAGCGCCCGCTTTCATCGCTTTGTAAGCCTTCAGGCTATGTCGAACCCTAACGATATCCACTGCAGATATTTGAAATTCCTAATCTCTATAGTGGAATCCACATTGTTTAAGCAGTGGAGAAGTATTAGGGGTATTGGTACAATGACGACCAGACGTGTTGATTTCAGTGAGTTCATGAGGAGGGGCAAACTAGACGCATGCATAGCTTACAGTACATCTCCTTTATTGCTGTTTATTTTCCTCACCGTTCTTTTCCTACACTTTTTGTACTTAATCTAAACCTGCCCACTGAAATGCGCCAAGCTTCGTCCGAAAGAAGCTATGTTCTACACTCATTGACTTGCCACGAACGTTGAAGGAATTTGTTCCACAGTCAGGCAATGACACTGCTGATAACGAGTGTATTAATACCTACTTACTTGATGCTTGAATGTCCCATCCAACCTGGTTGTGCGGGTCCCAACATAATCTCCATTTTTCGGAGATTTGCTGGTTAAGCCATTGTGGTTCCCTGGAATCCTGAGGTCAGCCTAGCCAAAGTCCACCCCAGGTGTTCACCACCACAGTCGCAGCCCTTGTGGATCAGAGGGAGATTTGCCATCGTGCGACTTTAATACCAGAACGGTGATGGATCCTGGTACTGGTCTATTCTTAGCTAGGCTTCGTAATGGAAACGCTGGGCTCCTTCTCTGCTTGGGAGACTCTGCCAGGGGGATGAACCCCACCGCTATACAACGGACCCCGACAACCAGGAGCACCTCCCAGTCACGATGAGGCGGTAAATCGTTGAGAAGTGTATTAATCGTTGAAACTAACGAAAATTTTGCTAATGATGAGGGTCCTATGATATTCTATGTCATACCCACAGAGAATGGAACCATGCATAACCCCTTCAGAACGGACTCGATGTTACTAAGAACTCCCACATCGCAAGAAGTGGCTGCTGTGGATAAACATCTGAAAGGAAGCTGACATGTACAATGATCTGCGGTGACTTACTGATGCGTTAAGCCAGTAATTTCTAGGATGGACTACCTATTAACTTCAACATTGACGAGTCACTGCTTCCTTGATAAGTAGACTCAAAGTTGTTACACAACACTTATTTCACACCAGCTAACGTCCAGGCGGATTTCAACTTCTCTAGGGCCGTTCTCTCCAAGTCTCGTACTTACCGATGAAAACCAAAAGATCACCACCACAGAGACTGCATGTATGCTTGTTAAGCCAGTGTGTAATTGAACCAATAATCCCGTGCGTATTGCAGGCAACGCGCTACACACAAATTTACAATGTAGGCGTAGAAAACTAGGAAAACCAATAATTTATGTCCACTATACACAAATAATTACAAGTATAAGTATTAATTAGAAGGAATGACCACGGTAATAAAGAAGTCTGAGAACTCAGGAGAGCTAAAGACATCATATGTTCACTCGAAGCGAAAGGAGGACCCATATCGAATTAGAATTAAACAATTTTTATTTAAAGCTAAAAAAGCGAATTGCCAGAGCAATACAACTCATTTCGGGATAAAGATTTTTTTTTAAAAAAAGCAATTTTTTGGACGATCAGACATTGCTTAGGATTTTTTTAAAACTGTACAAAACGCTCATGACTAGCGTTGACATGCATGGGCCATTAGACGTGAGTATAGTGAGGAAAGGAAATCGTCGAGGATACTCGATAGTGTTATACCTATAATAAATAGTTATGGAGAAATCGTAGTCGATATGACAACTTAACAATTCGTTGGGTCAACAGCTGAAGAAGAACGACAATGAATCGTAGCCGACAGGTCTACATGACAACATAACAATTGTTCGATTAGAAGACTAGGAAAACAGAAAAGAAAGCCAGTAGCGGTAGAAAAATGAAAAAGAAAGTTGGCATGCAGTTGGAAATGCCAACAAGCAAAATGGTACAATTTTAGAGTAGCTCATATGACAGAAGCAAGAAATTAGCTGGAAACCTCACAAATATATGATTTTCAGTCCAGCTTCGAAGTCGAGCTTTTTTCTTCTTCGTTGCAGGATGAAACATGTAGGAAAGTCTCTTCTAAAGACGATTGCGTTACACAAAAATCGACGACGCCTAGGGATGTGGCCAGTGATTGAACGTCATGAAATAACGTTGACCATCGATCCGACTTCGATTTTGGAATCTGGAAGAACATAATGCATTCTTTTCCTTCATATCTGAAGCATATCTAGTAAAGAAAACGAAGGATATTATGCGTCACCTGCCACTTCAAGCTCAAAGACAAGCTTTCTTTTGGCGTTTTTAGCACAGCATATGGAAACGTTCTTATCACTCCTTCTATGACGTTATCACGAAGTTCCAACCTCGGTGCCACCATTGTTATTGTGTAGCTGTTCCCAAATCTTCAATATTGTGTGTAAAACCAAGCAGAATATTAAACGGTCGGTAAACGTCAAATAGATTTTTAATCCTTTAATGACCACGTGGAGTGATTTCAATATGTACACTGTTAGACCGTAAGTTCTGATTTCAATGCGTTCGATTTCTTCCTGGCCTATTTTGCCGCACCACAATTATTTGCCAACTTTTTGTAGTCACTTAATGGATGGTCGAACACAGAATTTATACTCAGGGTGGTTTATGGATAGGCGTTCTCGATCTACTCTATTCGAAAAAGCCGTTTGCGGACGACGGCACAGAACTTGTGGATATAAAAAACATGGTGATAAAGAAATAGACTTTAAATATCATATAAAACAAGGAAAAAGCCTGATAAGCCCGCAATTATATAATGTACAAACGCTTTCTCCATCAAACGCAAGAGATGTCCAAGAACATGGAAACATAAGCAGATCATAGCGGCCAGGTAGAAGTTGAAGAGATACGGATATGTGAAGAAATCAAATAACAGGACGACGACCTCAAGAAACCAATGTGCCGTGTGGCTTTAATGGAATTATGGATCGCACATTTTGAATGTAATGCGCATTTCGAATGCACTCCAATGTCACGTGGGCCCGATGGGCTTTACAAACGAAAACGCTTGCACTCGTGAAAGGATAAACTGTTGCGCGCCAATATTTCCTTGTTCGTAAGAAACATTCAGGGAGATTGCAATATTAAGGCGTGATATTCCTACCGAACTAGTTAATCGACCAACTTGACTTGAGAGGATTACTGGAATACAATGTTAAGGCGTGAACCCGGAGGGATGGACGGCTTGGTGAGTCTAGACGATGGGATCGATCCCATGTGTACTGCAGTGCGCCTGCAACCACTGCCCCACACGCGGCCTTCAAATCTCTGCACTGCGTCCTAGAGGGTTGTATAAGATTCAAACGTTAAGATTGAATATTACATAGGAAAGGCAAGGCTTTTTGGTTCAAAGCCAATAAGAATTTCAGAAAAACACATCGTTCATGAAACAGAAATTGCAACAATAAACAACTTCACTTTGACATCAGACCCATTCACTTATGACTTTGGTGAAGGAGTGGCGTTTTAAATGTCGACTTCAAACATTCACATCTCCATGCTTCATATAGCATAATATAAAAAGGCAAACAGAAATAGTGACCCACTTCGTTTTAAGATGTTGGCTTGTTCCAATGGCTACCATTCGACCCCTTTGTAAAATGGCGATTCGACTGCATAACGCCTCACATTCGTCCATGCTGTGTGACGTAAGCAGGAGGGCGGAATGTGATTGGTCACGTACCATCGATAAAACCTCCCAAATCTCACGGCGAGCCTTAAATAGGATAAAGATGATCGTATTATATAACCAAACTCTTGAAACAGAAACTTCCATCATATGTGTTTAATATAACAACACTTTAAGGTTAAGTAACAGTCTTCTAATACTGAAAATCTGATTAAATAAAGAATATCCACACCTTTGGATCAATTCCAGCTGTTGGTTCGTCAAGAATGATGATTCGCGTTGGTGAAAGCAGAGCAATAGCTACGCTGATTTTTCGACGTTGTCCACCACTGAAATGTTAAGAGCAACGGTTTTCGGTTATTGAAGGTTCCTTATTTAAGGAAATTTACACTAATAACAAAAATATACCGAATGAGAAATATACTACTTGCATCTAAATTTTGGCGGAAGCAGGAGATGTATCAGTCCTACCAAATATTAAACTTCACTAATGTGTCCGAATATCTGGTAGAGTTTGAAATTTACTTCGCAGAAAAACTGCGTCAATTGAAAAATATCGGTACCAATCAAAAGGGCAAGTAAAAAAGCTGTATTGCAAGTAATCCCAGAAAGACACTCAAACTGTAATACCAACTCTTTTACTAACCTGTAATACCGTATCAATTTATCCGCATGGTCAACCATGCCAACGTTTTGAAGTGCTAACTCAGTCAATTCTGCTGCATTGGGGAATCCATGCATACGTGCAAGTATCTTAAAAACAGTATTCTCTTAAACTGCGAACGGTCCCTAAAGTTTGACTTAAAAGTATTCCATTAATAAAGATAGAAAATCACCGCATACCTTAAGGCACTCTCTTCCAGTAAAATCGAGCATCAGCGCATCAAACTGGGGACAGTAACCGATAGGCTGAAAACAATTATACCATATTTTATAGCCTAAAGGCTGGTCCAAATCCATTCTCTAATTTTCAGATAGTAAAAATTTAATGGCGTTCCCAAAATCAATAGCTAAACACATGAGGCAGATCAACTAGCGGACTATATTAAACGAACGATAACAACTATCTGATTGTTAGAGAAGTGTCAAGGAGTTCACTTTAAATCCACAGTCTCCAATCTCAACACGGTACATATTAAGAGTCAACTGAATAACATCGAAAAACGCTGAAACCTTCAATTATTTTAAATGTAATACTACACCAAACTGGCCAACTTATCCATGGAGAGGAGATGTTCCTCAATGTGGAGCAGTGATTTATGGGAGTTAGGTGATGAAAGCTGCGGAATTCGACGTTTTCATATGTAAATCCATTTACGAATAAATGAACAAAAATCACCGTTATCTCAAGAAAAACCTAGTCAAGTACTGCTTGACTTAAAATTGAGATGGAGAGACTAGTGTCTGTGGTGATATCCTGGGATGGTATGCAGTCTATAGGATTATCTGGGATGGGAGGTGGATGATTACTCGCAGAGGCGGGTCATTGAAACAACTAGTACCAAGTCCAAATAACACTTCAATTACCTCATGCACCCACCACCTTCTTAACTTACACGAGTTCGTCTTCTAGAAATATTCCAAGTCTTAAAACAAACACATGTTTAATACATAACGCCTTACTGGTTTCACGAAAAGTGACAATAGTTTACCAATTTTCAGAGTAGTTGAGAAGCTGAGAACTTCAAGGATTTCTACTGATAACTTCGTTCTGCCACCAAAAGTAGACATTTAAGTTTTTACAAAACATTTTCTCAATTTTAAATTCGTTTAGATTCAAAATTATTGATAAACTGAAAATGAAATTTCAGGATCGACTTTCTCTTAACCTCGGCATTGGAATATGAATGTGTCGTTTTCTTGTTCAGTAATCGGGAGGTTTTTAAACAGCATATATTTACTTCCATAAAAAACACAATACAATACAACGCTAGCTGACGTTTCGGCAGTATCGGCTTCTTCAGAGCCGCTTTTTCGTGACTTCCAATGAGGAAGTTTAGAACAGCTGATTACAGTCGCATGTGGTTGACGACTTACGACAAGTAAATATATGCTGTTTAAAAACCTCGCGATTGCTGAACAATGAAATTTCAATTTTTAACATTTGCTAATCACGCGCAGCCGCCGCCAAACACCAAAGATGTATTGGGGAAAGTCATCGTGCTATGCTAGATGGAATCTCACTCGTTCATTTGTCACCCTATTTGAAACACCAGCAATGAAAGTGAAGAGAAAATATGATTTGTGGACTTCGAAACAACCAGAATTCCATCGTGGAACAAAAAACCTCTATTTCGTTAGAGAACACATGTTACCCCTAGTGGCCCTGCTCAATCAATAGAATTCATTGTGCGATAAGAGATGTCCATTTATACCCAAAAGAGGTTACTTTGTTTATACCGAATGCACTAAAGTAATGCATGCCATGCATTATGTGTTAAAGCCTCAATTGCAACCTATTAGGTGACGACTCACTATTTGCTCTGTGACATCTCGCTTATCGATGTAAGCCGTGCCAGCAGTGGCGAATGATTGTCCGGTAAGAATGTCAAATGTGGTCGTCTTGCCGGCTCCGTTCACTCCAAGTAGACCGAAACACTCACCATTTTGCACTCCCATAGTGAGTCCGTCCAAAGCTCTCAAATGGCCATACATCTTGCATAAATCCTGAAATTGAGTTCTTATGAACTTCATAAAATATTACTTCATTACATGTAAAAGGCTTTAAAGAAGAAAGGATATCACTTACTTTGACTTCTAGCGCTAAATCATCACCGTGTTGTTGTACATGCACTCTCTCGTCCATTACATCGCTATCTTCTTCGTCTGTACCAACCTAAACTAATAATTGTTTAAGGAGACTATCCTAATACTGTATTTTAAGCTGTTTTATTCGAATTGGAAAATCTTACTGCGACAGCCCAAGAACTGCCGTGACGAAATGCTTGAGCCAAGTCTTCGATTACGATGTTGAAAATAATTCCAAACACACATCAAAACTACAACGCACAAAAGATTCCCGCAGAATACATTAACTTCCACAGCCATGTAGGATAGTGCGAACAAGGATAAAGTTATCAACATATTGCTGATGGCCCAGAGTTTGTCGTGCAACATTTGCTCATGAAATCTATTCACACCAGATCTTATTAATTATTGGACCATTCTAAATGCTATTCTTCCCAACAAAAAGCTTGACGAAAATATCAACAACGATAACTACGAACACGTTCTGTGACCAAGTGGAAGGAGCGATCAGGAACGAAAAGTACTCAGGCTTCAACGCCAAAATGGAGAAGACCAATGAGACTGAACACAGAATCAGATGCTTTAGAACAGAAGGTAGAAACGAGTATGGAAGATGTCTCGTGATGACAAAACGTCAGAAAAGGAAGCTTTCCCTCGTCGTACCACTCCCGTGCAGTAATATCCTTTCACCATGTGAATTTTCAGTTAAACCCTAAGTGGAAAAGTGCTCTTATCATCATTTAAGAAATAAGAGATAAGCCGTATATCAGTAAAGAGCTCGCACGTGGTCACAAATCGCACAATGTGGTCATTGACGTTGCTGTTCTAGACGCTCCTTGTGAAAGATATGGAGTGTATCTATAAAACGCCGTAGAATCAGGTGCACAAATCAAGGATTTTAGACGAAACCTTACTAGCTGAACAGCCAGAATTAGGAAAAGGATCTACGGACCACCCAAACCGTAACTATGGTCAAAGTGGGCTTGGAGCGCTATCTTCATCATATCATGATCCTTACTGACTGCAAAAAACATTTGACTGCTACGAAATGGAGATCAACGCTCGCCGATCCAGAAGTGGTTTCTAGCTTACTGCCACTGAACCAATGGTTCTTACCTCTTCACCATTCATATACGATATACGATGAACCCACAAAGCTTCTGATAAGATTTTCTGATGCGGTTTAGTAGCTGAAGATATCTTAGGACATAGATTTCATGACGCTTAAAAAAATGTCACAGGATTGGCAAAATATCCAACGAGTAGACGAGAAAACAGTGGGTTCATAATAACATTCTTTCAAGCTTTATAGTGTTGGTCATGCGATATGTGGTCGAGCACTGTTTTGCAATTGGTTCCAGACATCTTCTCGAATTTCTGAGAACACCTCGCTTATGAAATGACTTTGCCAACATGCAAGAAGCAGCATTGAATGACCCTAACATAACTTTTTTGACACAAAATTGTCCTCAGGAAGAGTTCCTGCTTTTCATCTATGTTTCACACTGCGTTGCTATAACGAATCGATTTCATGCCGAGAATCACAGTATGGTTAAAAAACGGATTGATTGTGATGCACAATAAAGCGCATAACGCTTTTCACAAAAGCAACCATTTAGCAAGTTAACCGGCTTTCCGAAAGGCGTTTAAGTTTGCCGAACCAGCAAATTTTCTTATAAGTAGTTCCTCTTTAAGCTTTTAAACCACTGTGCGCTGCTTACCTCCAAGAAACATATTCAAATAGGTTAACAGAGCAGCGGTTCATCTTCGAACATTCTCATTTTCAAGGATTTTAAATAAAATCAGTGTTATACTATAAGGTGTAAAAGGTATGCCGTCTAAATGGAGTGCTGATATTGTGAGAAATATCTCCGAGCTTACCACCACTTTTCAAGCAGATTTAACACAGTTGGTATAAAGACGAAAACATTTAAGGTGACATTAACACATATATAGAACTGTGCTTCAAAAAGAAGTCAAAATCTGCGAAGGTTAAATCGACACCATTCAATTCAGGATCACCTATGCCGGGCACTACGAAATTTCTTGCATATGAGGCTCGACTTCCTATAAACTCTCAGAAATTCACCTGAGAAAACTCTTCGCTAATAAACTCTAAACAACGATGCATATGAAATGCGAAATTTCCAAAACGTTTTCATTTCCCTTTCCGAATGATACAAGTCAAACCAAAAAATTAAAATGAAAAAATATTTGGTTGAAAATTCTAATTCACAACTGAATTGAGAAGTCTTTAAAAGCTTTGAGATGGAAATCCAGTGCCGAGGAAAACATTTCTTCAAACAGTCTGTACACTCGATGATGGAGTTTACTTTTCCATGAAGACAACTGCAAAGCTATGAAACTTACCGTTCCGTAATTCCTTCGTCCGTATCGTAAATCCCAAATCTGGTGCCAGCGATATCTAACAACCTTAAACTGGAACAAAACGAAAAGTAACGCTGAGAAGCACCCGAAAATTAACATGAACGTCAGATTTTTGCCTAAAATATTTCTTTATAAAGAAATAACAACTGGAGAGATCGTTCTTAAAAAAATGTCAACACTCACCCAGCATGTTCCACTCCCATAATAGATGCGGCGGCATTTTTGAAGCTGAATATGTACCAACTGTCATGACGGCATTACCAAATGCGAAAGATGGCAGAAGGCATAGCAAGATTGACTGAAAAAGAATATGTGATTAGGATATTAATTTAACACAACCAAGTTGCTTAAACCTGAAAAAAATTGTGTAAGCACTCATCACTGAAATCATCGCATATTCTACTGTCATAGATACCCTAGAAAGTAACATAACAGATTCGTCATTAAATAACAGATTGATGCCGAAACGTCAGCTAGTGTTGATTTGTATTGTGTTTTTCTATGGAAGTAAATGTATGCTGTTTAAAAACCTCGCGATTGCTGAAGAAGAAAACGACGCATTAACATAACAGATTTGTCAATTCAAAGAATAGAATGCCTAACCCGTATAAGCTCAGCAACAGTCGGATCAACATTGACAGTGTGGCTGATAATGGTCATTATAAGCATCGCAGCGAAAGCAGCCACCATCTGCCATAAGAACAGAAGCACGATCGCCTTGGACGGTGATGAGAATAAGAAGGATACCGCATATACAAACGGTACACAGGACCAGAAGTACAAGACGAGCAGCAAAATTACACTGAAATTCTCGAATAAAGTATATTTTTGTGGTGAAAACAATAATGGCGTAAGTACAATTTAAATAAAAGGGTAAAAATGAGCAATTCCTTGCTTGACCGTCGCTAAAAGAGCAAAATATTTAAGAAAGAAAATAAAACGTACAAATTAAGGTATCCCTGCATCCAACCAGAGACGACGAAAACAATGAGAAAACAGGAACACACGATCGAAAAGAACAAAAAGTCATGTAGAAACGATGTCGCCCAGAAGGTAACCGGTGAGATACCCGTTAACAATTGCTGTAAAGTACACATATAAAGAAAAGAAAATGCAAGTATGCATGGAATTTGTAGGCTAACACTGCATTAGAGACGTTAGCATGTGACCTTTAGAAAAAACATTGCTCAACAACACGATTGAACGACGAAATCAAACAGGTAGAAAGGATGAACGTTCTAGAGTTATTCACTGTCCCTTTGATGAACAAACATGAGGTTGTACTCAACTGCCTAATTATCCACAATGCTAACGTTTCGGCGAATTTCGTATTCCCGAGAAGTGTGAAGGTCAAACTGACCGCAATCCAGTCAGCGAAATACTTATGAATTAGATGTTGGGTTTTCCTGTTCAGGTTATGGAAGTAGAATGCAGCTCACTTGATGCTTCTATGTGGATAAAGAATGGTATAATAACAGCTTCGTATTTGCTCATCAACAAAACAGTGCATTAATGCCGAAGATAACAGAAAGTTGGTCCTGGGAGCCACACTTTCTGAACCCTACCAAGAGTCACAAGATATTCTTTTGAAACACATGCCAACTAATGTAAGAAACAAACAAGAAGAAAAATGTATACCTGGTGGGCAAACTTGCTCACACGTTCCTCAACAAGGAACCTAATGAATGCTGAAGTGAGCAAAGCAAGAGCAAGCACAATGAACGGCCCAATCATTACGTCAACGAACTCAGCAGAAAGGAATCTCGAAGAGCTGTTACTCGCAGTGGCATATGGAGCGTAGGCGAGCAATCGAACATGGATTCCAATATTAACACCTAGAAGAAAAGTCCCTCAGACGAATTCTTAGCAATAATCTCCACAGAGAAAATTAGTTTGATAAAGCATATGTCGAACAAAATCCTAGTTTCTTCTAATACACTAAGCTCTAAAAGAAGTTTTCTCAAGGAAGCAATTACGTTCAAAACTATGCTTGATTGTGCCAATGCCACAATACAACTTGGCAATAATTAAACAACCATTTTAACTCTTGACGTAAAACGTTAACGATCTCCCCAAGGGCTCTGATTTTTCACATAAAATTAACATACGCATTACTCGATACTTGATATTGAATAGTCTTCACTCTCGCTCACTCCGTCTTCACTAGTTGTGTGGGCCCCAGCGTAATCTCCATTCTTCGGAGATTTGCTGGTTAAGTCACTGTGGTTCTCTGGAATCCCGAGGTCAGCCTGATCAAAGTCTGCCCCAGGTCTTTATCACCTCACGCAGTCGCTGCCCTTGTGGTTCAGAGGGAGATTTGCCACAACGCGACCATGATACCAGGACGGTGGTGGATTCCGGTATTGGTTTACTCTTAGCTAGGCTTCCTGGCAGTAACACCGGACTCTTTCTCAGCTTGAGAGACCCTGCCAGGGAACGAATTCCCCACTGTACATCGCAGTCCGACACCCAGGAATACCTTGCAGCCATCATGAGGCGGTAAACCGTTGGGAGGTAACATACAAACGAACATGGAAAAGTGAAAAATGAAAAAAAGA